AAAGCTTCGGGAGTCTCGCTTCGTATCCCTCTTCGGGCGCTTCCATACAAATTTCGTGTACGTATTTCTACCTACGCATTTTACTCACTACCCAATTTTCCGAGGCCTGCTCAGGGGAACACAGAGGAGAAACAAGAAGCAGCCCTCAAGGGCGTGACAATGCAGCCACAGTTTGACTCTCCGACTTGCTCGGGATGCTCGGCTAAGGCTCATCAAGCTGGAGAACGGGGATTCCCTGAAGACCGGCAGGTGTCGGCAAGCGTGACAGATCGTGACCTGCTGTGCGGAGAATTGTCCGAACACTGGGGTCAGGCCCTGTATATCCTGTCTCCATTGCTCGTGTCTCCTTCAATATGTCTTATGTTTGGCACGTAGTCTATGCATATGCATCTCCTTTTTCATGCCAAAATTGAGCATTATCGGAGTACAGGAAAGTACATAAAACGAAGGGTTTTCGCAGCGGGCGCCTTTTTGTCCGAACACTGGGGTCGCGATAGTAGATCCTTATGGGAAGTCATCCACTGCATCTGTTATGGCAACGGCACGGCGACGCCCCCATCCCACGGCGATCCCCTGACGCGCTTCCTGGGCGGTCGATGGCCGATGTTACTTAGACCGCAGTTCTAAGTAGTATGAGATTTCTAAGTGTTTGATGCGTTCCTCGCCGCTCAGATCACAGCATTTGGAGGTACCTTGAAAGGCTGGGATCTGGATGATCTGAATGCCAGGAGGAAGTCCAATTCAGCGCTGCGGGTGCTTCTCCGTCTGGAGGTATAGTCTGCGTGCAGTTGAGAGCGGTGTCTGATAGGTGCCACGACACTATTGAAGTCGGTCATACTGTAGCGTTCACCGTATGGTTCTCTTCTCTGATGTTCGTACATGTACATGATGGATATCAGATTTTCATGACATACTATAGTAGTCCATGCATTGCAGAGCGATTATGATATATGCGTGCGTGCGACGAATCCAATGTGCGACGAGAATATGCGAGCCAGGTGAACAGATGCAGTGGTACACCAGGAATGCAGCAGCGGTGGAGTAATCGTGGTAAGGTAAGAGCTCATCGCTACAGAGCAAATACATATGAGTCAAGGTTGTCAGAGTCCAGATTGGCGTACGGCGTACCTTCTTAGGGATGAACAGGCTGGGGCCTTGCTTCTGGCGTTTCGCCGCAGGTGGCTTCGGTTTTGGTTTTGAGTTGCCCTGAGCGGCGCCAGAACCACCCGCATCATCCTTCGGTGGACCCTCTGCACGCCGCTTTTGACCCACTTGCGCCTCCTCTGATGCTACGGTAACCGGTACATCGGGTGCAAAGGGCGCCTCCTTCGGGGCGTCCGGGGCGGGAGGTTGAGTTGCAGCGGGCGCAGGGGCATTCGAGCGATTCGCGATTGCTTTCAATTCACGAGGGGTGGCAAGATCAGGTGGGGGCGGAGGTCCTACGATGGTTTTCGACGCCGGCTTGGGTTTGGGCTTCGTAGGTTGCGGTAACGGCGCCGTGTAAGTGTTAGGGGCTGTGAAGTATGCGACATCGGCCTACGTGGAAACGACTCATCAACAAGGCAGGAATCGACAAGTGACTGTTACTCACCTTGATAAGGGATGTTCTTGACCTCGCGTTGTCAACAATCTTCCGCCAAATGTCGTCGCTCCTCTCAAGGGTTGGTGCGTTACCGAGGACAAATAGTGAAGCCTTGGCACGAGTCAGGGCGACGTTCATTCGCCGGACATCTATCATGCAGGGTCAAATGACTGCGCCGAAAAAAAGAACGTTTTCATTCACCTCGGAGGAAACCAACGGTCTGCAAGCTCGGTCCCGAACGGACACAAGACAGAATGATGATGTCCTTCTCTTGACCCTGAAAACCGTCGACAGTGTTGAAATCAACCGTACTCAGGACCTCTTCACCAAATCGTTGTCGGAATGCACGCTTCAGCTCCACGATCTGGCCACGGTACATGGAGATGACGCCGACTTTGAAGTCGAAGTCTGTCGACGAGAATTCCTTGATCAGCCTGTTGTACAGGGCTACCGCGACCTGTGCTTCTGAACGGTTCACAAGAGAGTGGCCAGTGCCAGGCATATTTTCCTCTGTTCCGGACTCCACGCTAAAAAAGCGGTAGGTCCCAAACTTCGGGTGATTATGCCAAGGTCGTTTTGTCTTCGCCGCCATCTCGGGTCCGTCACTCAGTCGACCATCGTAGAAGAGGTTACTGGGTAGCTGGCTGATATCGGGGTGCATACGATATTGTATGCTGCAGGATAGGGTATATCTCAGCAAGCCTATCGCTCGTGTCGAGAGTTAGGTGTACTAACCTCAGCAAATGGACAGCATCTGGCTGACTCTTTTGGAGTCTGACAAAAAGCGACTGATCGTAGCCAAGCCTACACGCCTGCGACCAATTTCAATCTCATGCTAAGTCAACATTTCTCTGCTCGGGATCACGTACCTCTTGAGATTTGACGGTTGGGGGCAGCTGCTGAGGGTCTATTGATTCAACATCAATGCGATGAGCGCCAAGGGACTACAGGGCAGCTCACCTCCGACCATGATGCACGTGCGGCAGCGGTACTTCATAGGAATCAAGGAACTGAGCTCAATAGCTTGCGCGGCTTCATCGATGATCACAACCTCGAAATCAAACGATTCTAGATACTCGTACGCTGATGCGGAAAGGGTACTGCAAATGACGTCCGCTTCTTGCAGGACCTCGTTCCGAAAACGTCGTCTAGTAGCGTCAAGCGTACGGTAATCTGATTTTTGCTTGTCCTTGACTTTGTCGAGCTGATGCGTCAGCATGGCCTTCGCCCTGTTCAACTTCTTGATGTCGTCCTCGAGTGCAAGCGTCTTCGCTGCGTTGTCGTGAGTGAGGGCCATCTCGTCCATCTTCTGCTGTCGTTGCACCTTTACCGACTCCAGCTCGGCACGAACCCGGGCCAGCTCGGTTCCGGCCTCCTTGGTGTTCTGCAGCTCAGGATGGGCATTGAGCTTCTGATCCATGAGGTACTCCAAGGAGACGTCTCGAACGCTGAGGTTCATAGCCTTGGGAGCACCTATTCGGACGACCTTGGGATGCTCGGCACGATGCCCCGCCCCTGACACACCTTCCTTCAGACGGAACGCGATCTCATCGATGGCAGCATTGCTCGGCGCACACAGTAGGATCTTCTTGGGTATTTCCTTGTCGCCCGGCCGTCCGATGGTCTTAGATCGTCGCGACAGATACAGTTGCACCAAGCCGCATATAGTCGATGTCTTTCCAGTTCCCGGAGGACTTCATATGACTGAGCACGCGGTAGGGGGAGCAACTGCAGATGAACTCACCCTTGGATGAGCGCAAAGCCCTCAGTATCAAGCGACTTGAGGATGGCGTTGGCTTGAGGCTCATTCACGTTGTATGCCTTCATAACTCTCTGGACCTCGCCTGAGTCGACCTTATTGGGTTTCGGCAGCTGAGTCCGCAGGATGCTATCCAGGAGATCATAGTGTGGGAGCGCCATGAGTGCACCGTACTCGCGAATGATGGTGGACAAGCTTCTTCGCATTAGAGACAGAGACGATGGACAATGCAGAAGATCACCCACCTGAGCACTTTGGCCAGACTCCAAGATGTGCCCACTTGCAGGCCCGGATCCCCACCGCTGGCTAAATAACGAATTGTGGCCTGAATGCCTATGTACGAAGCACGATAGCTTTGCGCCTTCCCCAAGACTCGTCGCTTAGCATTCGAGCTCGATAGCAGCACAATATCCGTCTCCGCGAGACTCCACTCCTTCCCGACCGATCCCTCGATGGATACCTCCAAGTCAATGTATTCGTCCGTATACTGTCGGCTGAGGATACGGCAGTCATGCGACTCCAAAGGCTGCTCCTTCGACTCGACTAGTTGATTCCACAACTCAAGGAAGAGCATCGGCTCGTAAACGCTACGGAAATGCGCGTAGTCCCCGAAGCGATCCGGCACAGATGACAACCTCGGTTTCTCTCCGGGCGGCATGGGCCCGTTATGCTCGTAGTTCCATGACAAGAGGGTGCGGTAGAGCCCAGAAACGTCAGGCTTGAGACGCATGTGCGTCCGCCGAGCGTCCTCGCGTTTGCGGATCATCTCGAGTCTCGGGTTCTTGCCATCCAACGGCAGGTCGAGCATTTTGACCTGCCGACGCTCGACGGGCTTCTTGATGGCGGGGGTCTTCTGCAACTTTGAGAGGCCTGCCAGACCTTTCGGACCATCATCGTCCTCATCCTCATCACTCTCCTCTTCGCTACTTGACGAAGGTAAGGTGCTGGAAGCTGCCGTGCTCGACTTAGCGCTCTCGTCCTTGATGGTGGGCTTTGAAGGTCGGTGGATTGGTGCTGCCCGCGTGCTCGTTGAAGGCACCACGGGCTTGGCCTCGGCCCTCTTCACGTCCCCACTGGAGAAGTAGCTAGAAATGGTTGGCCTGTCCTTCCGCTCAGAGCCCTTGCCCTTCAGATCCCCAGAAGACTTGAGGATATGTCGCGGCTCCGCCTTAGCCTTGCCCTCCTTCTTGACCTTGTTAGGCATCGGTCCGAACGTGTGCGAGATGATCTGGATGTCATCATCATCGTCCTCGTCAAACGCCCCAATTGCCTCCTGCAGCCGGAGCAATCGCGTCGAGTCCAGCCGCGACCTCATCCTGTTCGGGTCGTTCTTGCGCGCGTCATCGATATGCCTTTGTATGCGCTGGAACGTCTCGTCCCGCGGACGTGTGTTGGTGCTGCGGAAGCCCTCGAGCAGCGTCTCGAGCAACGCAAAAGACTGGTGGAGCAGCTCCTCGTCCGTCAAGCGCAGCCACTTCGTCAGCTCGTAGAGTACCTGCTGCAAGTCGTCCACCATCGCCTTCCCGACAGCCGAGAGCCTCTTATTCGCACCAACGTCCTTCTGGGAGCGCACCAGTGCCCCGGACTCGAGTGTCCGCCGCTGCGCGAGGAGGTCACGGCCGAAGATGAGCGCGTCGCGCATCCAGATCACCATCTCCTCGTTCTCGAAGAACCGCGCCCAGCGGGGTGTGTGCGCAAAGATGACGCAAAGGGCCTCTGTCATGAGGTGCCACAGCTTCGGGATTTGCTCCTCCAAAACGTTCCCAGCGGCCTTGAGGAATTTGGGCTGGAGAAGAAGGCCGTCGGGGCTAGAGCAGAGACCCTCAATGATGTCTGTAAGGCAACGCGCCAGGGCTTGGGAGAGCGAACAGGCCTCCGGCACCACTGTGGCGTAGCGAGTGTAGGTTGTCAGGTACTCGCAGACGCCAGCCAGCGCAGCAGCTGGGTAGTGTTCCAAGAGGGCTCGGAAGCAATCTAGACGGCCGTCAACGTCATACGCGAGGGCGACGAGGGCTTGCGCGGCTTCTTGGAGGGCCTCTACAGGGGAGAACATGATGGACACAACGTCCTTCACGACGTCATCTTGGCCTAGGAGGTCGACTGCAGTGGAGGCTCGGCTGAGATCGGTGTAGCGGACTACAACGTCCCGGAAACCACTGCGAAAGACGACGAGCGCGCTATTGACTGCTGAGAGCGTGGCGCGCGACGAGCTGGATGACTGCGACTTCTTGAAGATGTCTTCGAATGCAGCTGGCTTCAACTCGTCTATATGTGCGACGTGGGCGACGACGGACGCCAACGTGACGATCGCATCCGAGTCCTTGGGCTCCACACTGTCGTAAATATTCGCCCAGACGCGCTCATGAATGAGAGATGCAGGGAGAGGGGTTGTGCCGCTGCTGGGAGAACACAGCGAAGTGATGGCTGCAGCTGCCCTGCGAACGTCCGTCAGGAGGGCTTGCTTGATCAGCCGGCGCGCCTGCTTCCTCGCGTCTTCCCAAGCTTCGTCAGCGTGGGTCTTCCCGAAGGCGACGCTAACGTAAACAGCAGAGTGGACGGTTAGAAGATCGAGCGCAAGGTCTTGTCTTGCGGAACCGTCCTTCCCTTGGTGAGCCAGGACAGCGTAGAGGAGCTGCCCGGTATAATAGTCGGCATACATCTGAAGCGCGATTTCGGTCGACGTACCCTCGATGCAATGCTCATAGCAACCGGACGAACGACCTTGTAACGCACATGTTGCAGCTGCTCGCATAGAAACTGCAGGACCGTAGGGAGGATGTCCTTGAAGACAGGAAGTTTCCCGACCGAGTTAGCGTAGACCTCCAGCCACTTCAGCTGCCAGTCGTCCTTGGCGACGGGTGCAGGGAGGTTGCACAGGATATCCGCGAAGCGGGTATTGTCTTTGATCGAGTTGAAAACCACGTGCGCGTATTCGGGACCCTCGCCTTGCCATGCATCTGGGCCCATACGTCTCAGAATGATTATGAAGCTCTTTAAGACGTCGATGAAATCTATTCTCCAGTAGTATAGCGGGTACGAATGTATGTGTAATGGAGCTACGTCAGTGTATGGCAATTAGTAGATGGCGAAACGGCTGACGGGTTTCGGTGTCGTGCAAGTGGCCTACTATCATGTGACGAATATCGATGTCGAAAGTGCGACTTGCTCGGAACAGTTCAACGGGAACGAAGCGGAGAAAAAGAGTGAACCCGGCCCATATAGCAGGAAGGTCTTGAAGCCATGGAACTTTGTACGTGTCGCCAAGACAGTCGGAGAGGGTGCGCGAAGAGGTGATAGATTCGCAGACAGCCTTCAAGACTGTGATATGTGAAGGGGAGAAGTTTTCCATTGGAATGGGAGCAACCTCGCATGATATGCATTGTTTCTGTCCCCAAACACGGATGTCATGGGGCCCGTCGAAGAGCAAAGCAAGCAGTCCAGATGGAGGGATGTCTGATGGCCAAGACTTGATAGGTGCGCGAGGACAATACTTGTGCAACAGTCCGACGATACGCGAGTCCTCAAGCATGTGTAAATAGGTGGCCATCAGGAAGGTAATAGCAGGTGGGGCGTCCACGAAGGTTCGCTCGGAGTCGGGTCCCTGTGCTGTGCCTCCAGTGAAGTCTTTCTCCGCTAGAGCCTGCACAACAAAGTCCGTGAGAAAGTTATGAAAGCTGCCGTAGAATGTCTTGAGGACGTTGTCGTTAAACGCGCCGAAGTACCTTGTGCGATGTGAGACCAACACCTCGCGTGATAAAATGAGATTGATACACTCACGTATGTCTCGACATGATCTCTGCCTCGTGTAGACCTCTAACGCAGTAGCAACATCGTGACAGTACCCGCTTCAGATGCAGCCTCCAGACATCGACCGAGTTACTGTTGTAGGCATGTAGACGGATGAGGAATGTCGCCGCCTCTCTTGTCACCTCGTCAGCCTGCGAACAAAACCAATGCTCGTGTGCGGAAATGAATGTAGTAGGGTTAGCAGGTGCGGAGAGACTTCCAAGGAGATACATGGACAGGATTCTAAGAACCTCGTCCGGAACCATGGCGACAGGAGCATCACGGAGCTCGACGAGTTTCTTCTTGACCTCATTCTTGGGTGGTGGCTGCGTTGCCATAAAAGCTGTCTCGAGTGAACAAGCCAAGCCAGAAGTCGAGGCGTCAAGCAGTGTATCCCGCCGTTTGTTGTATTTGCGGAAAGTACGGGTGCAAGGGGGTGCGGACGGATGGGCTGGCGGGAGTGGTGAATGTCTGCTACAGCGCGTGATGCTGCAGCCTCGAACGCGTCCAGGCGCGTTATTTGGCCGGGTTTGGTTCAGGCGTCCCCTTAATGAGCTTCGGTCTTTAGGCGCCAATGTCTATCTTGCTGCGGTACTCAACATCATGGATTCACAAAACCTCGAGAGAATAAACAGTATGCTCGATGCTGAGGTCGAGATAAGAGAAGTACATCTAAATCTCGTGTGGAAAGGCTGTAGGACGACATAACTTCCGATATACGCCCAGAAAATCAAGGAGCAAGTAACAGAATTCGACAAAAGGACGAGGACGCTCGTTGGGATCCTCAACAGGATTCATTCCACCCGCTCAGAGAAGAGTGAGTGGAGGACGATGGAAATTTGCTGACTGAAGTTTTCTGATCTACATCTCAGTGTCGACACTGCTCGATCAGGCTCGTCCCGTTCTTGACAGCTGCCGCGAGACAACCGCTGCGCTAGCAGACATAGTTCCACCCGACCAGTTCTGGAAGTGGAAGGACATGTGGAGCCTGTCGCTACGGAGCGCTGTCTTCTCAGCGACGCTCATGGAGTACCTGAAAAGCGGAACCCTTCTTTCACTGCCCGCTGTTGCGGAGACACTCGGCTGTGAGTGTCTTCGTCCGTCTAGGAGGGACAGAATTCATCCTGGCCTCAGTCAAACCGGAGTGGAAGGATAGAGTCACCCTTGCTGTGGAAGACTATCTTCACGGAGTGATCACGCTGGTGAACGAATTGGTTAGTATAGCGATAGCCATGAGCTCAACAATCGCTAATCCTCTTCGGATAGTCCCGCCTCGCCGTCAACTCTGTTACCTTAGGAGATTTCGAGCAACCCATCAAGATTTCCTTGTTTGTGAAGGACATATTCGCCGGATTCTCTATGGTCTCTAGCAATTGTCAGCTTTATTTGAGGCGAACTTACTGACTCCGTACTATTCCTTAGCTCAACTTGAAGAACGACACACTCCGGCGCCGTTATGACAGTGTGAAATACGACATCAAGAAGATCGAAGAAGGTACTGTTGTCCTCACCTCAAATCGATAGCCGACCGCTCATCCTCGTAAAGTGGTCTATGATGTCTCACTTAGGAAGCTCGCTCCGTCCGCCCAGGAGAAGGCAGAGTGATGACTGTTAGCTGGACAAGTAGAAGATGTAACGTGACCAGGCCAGAGGAAGTGGATCCTTGATAGGCTGCGTACTCACCACGGTAGAGATGCATAACTGTAACAGTAATAGCGTGATAAAATGATGGATTAGTAGCATATACCGGGGCCGTGTCTGAAATCCGACGAGAACGAGCTGAGCAGCATGATTCAGAGCGCGATGCCGGGCCAATTACCTTGTGAGTCACCCTCACAGGGTGCTTCCCTGTGCAGCCCATCCAATTTTCGCTCAAGGTTTGTCGGGACTTCAAAATAGTATGGGCGTGTTTGATTCCTCGACAGATCACGTGACAGGAGGATGAGAGCTGGAACCGGCGGCAATCGAGATTCAGACAGAGTGCTCGCGGACTTCCATCAGCGTAGACTATTGTCGCGGAGCCGGCGTGTCGGATGGAGTACAGCAAGTTCAAGACCGCCTCACCGCACCCGGCGTACATTGTCTCTCGCCCCCCTCCCTCCGCCCACAATATCCCCCAGCGAGTGGACATGGCCAGCAGGCGCGGGGTCTCCAAGCGGCCTGCCTCGTCCGAAGGTAAACCGTCTCCCGTTTCCCCACTTTCCATTCACGTTCTCGGCCTCCGGGCCCGTGACCGGAGACGATATTAATTTCGAATGCTGACAAGGGGTTATCGATTGCATGTTTGGTAGAGGTCGAGTGCTGGTCGCAGGCGGCGGCATCGCTGAACAAGCTGTCGACGATGCTCTCCGACCAGGAGCGAGACGACACGATCGGCCGTGTCCACCGGCTACTCTCTCAGTGGCCATCGGACGACTCGCTGCCGTCAGAGGGGATTGATGGCGTCAAGAGCATCTACAAGAAACTGGTGTCCGGCCTTAACGAGGTCAAAACTAATGCCGAGAAAGACGCAGAGTACGACAACAGCGGTTTGCCTTGCTTCAGATACTGACATATTCGAAATCACAGAGCGATAGATGAGGTCATAGAGCGGCTCAGCGTACTTATCGCTCTGCGAAAGGCACCAGAACCTCAGGCACCAGGTCAGTTGACACAACTGGGGGATGTTACCGAAGCTAACGGTCATACAGTAGAGAAACGTAACAAGCGACCGAGGGCCCATTCGCCCTCCATCGCGCCGCCTGTCACGCCCGCCGTGGCGACACCAACCCGCTCGATGTCGATAACTGTGCCTCCTCGAGGCTCAGTCGGCCCGCAGCCGTCAATACCCTTCTCTCGCGAGCCGAAGGCACGGCGGGAGGCGTTGGCTAAGCAGCTTCCCCTCCAAGATGGGCGGAAGGTTGCTTTCCATCCGCCGACAAACACGAGTAAGAACGACGCGGCTGCCAACGGCAAGGACGAGGAATGGATACTAGCTGTCGTCACGAAATGCATCAATCAAGACAAGAATCGGTACGATGAACGACCGAGAGGTGGCAACGAGTGACTCAATTTCCGCATCACAGATACGAAGTTCAGGATCCCGAGCCGCAAGAGGACGGCCAACCTGGACAGTGCGTCGTCGACACTCTCTACTATGCGTTCGAAGACTGATTTTCTTGCTATGTAAGGCGATACAATACTACTTTGCGGGCCATTATTCCACTACCAGATCCGAACGCGCCTCCGGACAGTGCAGCGCACTTAAACGCATACCCGGAATTCACCGCGGGGGCGACGGTCATGGCTCTCTACCCCGACACCAGCTGCTTTTACCGTGCAGAGGTCATCGCGAGTCCGAAGGACCTCAACACAGGACGCGTAAGCTGCTTGCACCTAATTCTGCCGCAATCGGGGTCCTTATCATTCTACAGAATGGGGGAACAGGGAAGCAGCCCCCGATGTACAAGCTCAAGTTCGAGGATGATGACGACCAAGAACACATGGTGCAGGCCTTGTGGGTCGTCGAATGGCCGGGCAAGGACTGATTGTGTCTTTTTTTTCTCTATCTGGGTTTTCTCTGGATGCCGGTACGACTATTGGTTTCTGGTGCACTCCCGTTTGGTTGGGACCGCGTGTATCATATCTGTATCTCTACGGCGACTGTTTTGTTTAGGATTACCCATATGCCACGCACACATTCTACTGCCTTGGTGTGTGCGGATTCCTGGTGCTACAACCCGAGTCTTTCCGTGGCCGTGCGCTTCCGGATTCTGAGAGGCGCCCAGAGAATTCCCATTAGCGGTGAGGAGACCACGTGTCGGGCGTTCCCATCACTTTCTCCGGCGATCGGCGGCTGGATCTGTCTCGACCTTACGCCTGCTTGCCAGATGACGAGACCCAACGCGAGAGTTAACCAGAGCTTTCCATGACTCTCCCGAAATAAACAAGCGGTATCATGCAGGCTCTGGAGGAAGAGCTCAGAAGCCTTGCCATAGAGTATAAATATTGGCGAGGGGATCCCCATACCCGCAACGATTGTACTCACGACCACTCGCACTTACGACCACTCGCACTTGAACTCGCACTCTCCGAGAACAACCCAAACACCTCTTCCTTTGAATCATCATGTCGCTTTCACGCCAGTTCTTCCGTGAGCTCCGACCCTTCTTCCGCATGCTCGAGGAGCCTTTTGGTCGCTCCCCAGCCTACTGGAACGGGAACCGCCATCCTACGCGCGGATTCTTCGAAGACCCCTTCTTTGCGTCCCCCTCGTCCGCTCTCCGCCCCGCTATCGACGTCCACGAGCAGGGGGACAACTACATCGTCGAGGCTGAACTCCCGGGCGTAAAGAAGGAGAACGTCAGCGTACGCATCGGGGACGGCGGCAGGAGCCTGACCATCGAGGGCAAGGTCTTCCGCCGTTCGCCCGAGACCGCGCCCCAGCAGGACTCGCAGGCGCAGGGTACGACTGAGTCGGCGACATCGTCAACATCAACCTCACACTCCACTGCAGGTATGTCGACACTGCTCTCTCCACACGCATCAGAAGGGAATGCTGACTTTGCGGTTGCAGTGGCGACCAAGCCCGAGGAGACGGCGATTTCAACAGAACGGCTGTTCACTGGAACGTCGAGCTTTACCAGGACGGTACTTCTCCCTCAGCCAGTGGACAGCAGCAAAGTCTCCGCGAAGCTGGCTGACGGCGTACTCACCGTGACCGTCCCGAAGGCGCCTGAGACCGGCAGTGTCCATATCAACGTCGAGTAAGAAACAGCGGCGGCACAGGTGCGCCTGACGCAGCCGAGAGGACCCTTTGCATGAAAACATAATCCAATGTACATTATACGCATGCATTTGTATCTGTATCGTACCTCAAGTAAATGACTAAATTGCAAAACTCTGAAGAGTTGAATGTAGTGCGTACCTGTGAACAGCTCGGAGGGACATGATAGGACAACGTAGAGAGAGCAAGAATAGCAAGTCGAGGAGCGAGCGTGATATGCCAGAGAAAACGACGTCGGGTGTATGTACGAGGCTATTGCAAGGCTACCGCTGGCTAGAAGGAGGCCGTTGCTGAGAGTAAATCGTTCGTCCTGGGTTGTCTGTCATAGGGTTGTGCCCATTGGCGGACAATCGGCTGCCTCCGTCCAGATACCCGCTGGCAGGACCAATGGTCTGTCCAGGAGAAGGTGCGAAGCTATCTTGCGGACCCGAGCCCCCTGCGAACTCTACCCCTAGCCGTGCCACACACGAATGAGCGACTGCATCGCCCCCTGCGCTCGTCGGCTCTACTCACCGTGAGCACCGGCAGTACTTGCGCTCATGCCATTGGCGGCGCCGTTAGCACGAGACACACTGTCTGGCGTCGCCGTCTCTGCAGCCTCTCGTGCCCGTGTCGACCTGTTTCGGGTACGGGCGCTGCTCGCCCGCGTGCTCGTTCGGGTGACAGTTGGCCCTGTGCTCTCCGGAGTGCCTTCATGCGACCCGTTGGTCGACGGGCCATTGCTCCATCGTCCCCTCCGATCGCGCGCTCTCGAGGAACGCGCGATCGCGGCGTTTGCGCTCACGCTGCCAGTCGGAGTAGCAGCTGCGCTGACACTTGCGCCGGCAGCGCCATTTGCTTGTTTCCCATTTGCGTGGGCTGGAAGAGACTGCCTTGCCTTGCCCTTGGTATAAGGGTTGATTGTGCTCGCGGATTCTTTCGGAAGGTGGGCAGAGCCAACCGAAGGAGAGGGAGGCGCCGTTGCTGAGATGGCAGGGTCGTCTTCGAGGAGCTCGCGCTCTTTCGCTGCGCGACGCTCCATGGCTTCTGCGATCGATATGGGCCGGGGTATTGTGTCTGTAGCAGTTCAGCGCCCGCGCCTGCACAAGATGAAGTAGACTCAACGACGCATACCTTCAAGGAACTTGTACTTGGAGTATTTTTGTGGTAGGACGGCTATATGCGTGAATTAGCTGAGTTCTACTATATGAGCATCTGGTATACGCACACATATCTTTGTACTGTACATGTTGACGACTATCAGACACTGTTTGCTCGTAGCCTGCTTCAGCTAGCCGTTTTACAAACTCCTCCTACAAGCGTGCGATGAGCTCACATGATACCTTCGTGTTCAAGGAAGTGCATGCTATTCACCGTAGCTATCGAGAGCATATATATCGCTTCTTTTGACATATGTGGACCAGCACCTGGGCAATGGTCGTGCGTCAGATTAACGAGACGGAGATATGACCTGATAACGTACCTTCAGCTTGAAGCATGTTGTCCAGCCGGTCTTGTGGGATCAAAGTGGTTCCAGGAACGCGGACACCAAGTTTCCTCCGGCCCTTCGAGGTCGAGATGCTCTCCTCCTCCACTTCTGGCTCCATCTCGTCCTCTTCATCGTCCAGCCCAGAGTCCAGCTGGTCGATCTCCTCTTCGTCAATGTCAGAATTGAAGCCGGAAGTCGTGCCGGTGAGAGAGTGGCGGCCGTTGCCAGAGATTGTCGTGAAGCTCAGAGCCATGATTTTCTTCCAGTGAAGCAAGTCAAATCAGAGGACGTCGTGTGGAAGAGGGGGCGCGTAGAAAGGCGACGCCGGCGGAGCAGGGAACGTGTACGAAAGGATGTTGGGGACAAACATCCGAGTCCATCTTGACGCGTAGGAACTCCAGCTTGTATTGGCGCCTCTTCATCTAATCTATCCGCGACACACGGGGGTCATGGTGCGCGTTTATCTAATCTTTTCCAACTATGGATACTTTGCAGCCTTATCGCGGATGGCCCATGATGCAGGTGCACTCGATCGACCATTGCCGCCGCGGAGAGGCAAGTATAAGGTACAGGCACTCTCTTGTATACCGATTCTGTGCTCTAACCATGGAGGGCCCCATAGTGAACACGAAGCTTGCAGCGCTCCCCATCATCAGCGTCGAACCATTCCTGCAGCCCGGCCACCATGGCAGACTGTCGGCTGCAGCCGCTCTCCACGCCGCCTGCACGGAGTACGGCTTCTTCTACCTCGACATCTCGTCGCACATAGATCCGTCCGAGCCAGAGGAACTCACCCGCCTCGCACGCGAGTTCTTTGCTCTGCCAGAAGAAGAGAAGGACAAGATATCTATCGCGAACGAGGACGGGGTGAGAGGTGCGTGCCCGGTGCGCTCGCTCGTCCGATGACATCATCCGAAGGGTGGATTGTGTTACGGCGGCTGCAGGGTACCAGAGGCTGAAGGAGAACGTCACGAATGGCAAGGCGGACAACCATGAAGCCATCGACTTCTTCAAGCCCGTCGAGAAAGCGGACAAGACGAAGACGCTCTGGGGAGAGAACCAGTGGCCGAGCATCCCTGGGTTCAGGGAGAATTATGAGGTGTGGATCGAGAAGATGAAGAACCTGGGCATGGTTGTGATGGAAGCGTGAGTTGCAGCTTGAGTACCCGCGGAGGCACGTGCTCGCGATGACCTTGGGAACTGTAGGATGGCTACTGGACTTGGTGTGACACCGGAGGAGTGGGCTGAGCTGCAGAGCAAGGTCGACGACAGTTTCTGGGTCATGAGAATAATAGGTATGAGCCCGTCTTCTCCTTTCACGACGCTCACGAGATCCTCACAATGCAGCTTCTAGGATACCCTCCCCTCCCCAATGATCATGACGGCTTCTCTTGCGGAGCACACAAGGACTACGGCTGCTTGACGTGAGCACTCACGTTGTATTTCCGAATGCCAACCCAACGCTCTACCCCAGCTTCCTGTACGCAGACCCCACCCCTGGGGCCTTGCAGGTGTACCTCAACGATCCCGGTCTCGTAGTGAAGGAAGATGGCAGAACCCCCGTCCAGCGCGTCGAAGACGGCGGGCGGTGGATCAATGCCGACCCCATCCCCGGTTGCGTCGTCTGCAACATCGGAGAAAGTGAGTCCGTCGGGCATTCGGTTACATTTACATTCGTGGTCCAACATGAAACACCGTCTGTTAGTGTGGGAAGTCTGGACGAACGGCCTGTACAAGAGCACACTCCACCGGGTCGTCCACAGGGGATCCAACTATCGGGTCTCGTACGTTCAGCGGCAATCCGTTCTTCCCTGTCCCAGCACGAGCTCAAACGTTGTCCACAGGATCCCATTCTTCTTCGAGGCGAATTTCGACGCCCGTGTAGAACCGCTGCCTGCTGCACGACGTATCCAGGACGATGATCGTGCCGTTGGAAAGGCCACGGAGCCGATCAAGGTGTACGAGCCGGTCGTGTATGGAGACTTCCTCCTCAAAAAGCTCTCAGGCAACTACGCTACCAGCCCTGGCAAGGGAAGATACGATACAAACTGATATGGCGGTTTCGGAGGAGATATGATCATTCTTGATGTATGCCTCCGGACTCTTTGGACGTCGTTATACCCTACTTCTTGATCATCGCTCAAAGCGGACACATACGTCAGTCGGGTGTCAGGAAAGTAAAACTACATGTGTATTGATATCTACCTCTACGTCTGCCCTGGTATGCAACACATCTACGATAACGAAGCCCCGACAAAGTTGGGCGCCACGCAGACGCCGTCCTTCGTCCGGATTTTGTGCACGCTCTTCGTCTCGGGGTCGACCCATGCGGCCTCGCGCGTCTCGAGCGTGGTGAAACCGGGCTGGATGGTCTCGAAGATCTTCTTCTTGGGGTTGAGCTGAGAGAGCGGCTCCTTGTCTGTGCAGCGACATAGATGAGCGACCGGACGGCGTTCTGCAAGGTCTAGACAGGACATACCCTCGAAGCCCTCGAAGTAGACCCGATCGCCGACTTTTGAGCCGGATGGAGGCTGGACGAGCTCGATGCCCGCGTCCTTGCCGTCTTTGTGTGTTGCCTGAATGTCGAGTCAGATGCGCCACATCTACACTGGTTCGTGGGGACGTACACAAAGCACCATGGCGAAGCTCTTCACTCCCCGCATGTTCGCCGGCTTTAGGTTGCACTAGACACGACGCGCGGTGAGTGACCAGCTGCCGATAGTAGATGTGACACTCACGACACCGACGAGGTACTTGTCGCGCATTTCCTCGATGGGAATGTAGTGCACGAGCCCAGAGACGACCGTCCGAGGCCCTTCCGGCTCCGCGAAGTCGATTTGCTCGACGTACAGGCCGTCCGCGTCAGGGTGCTTCTTGACTGTCGCCCTCTCCGTCAGGCACCGTCTCTGGACACCGCTGAATAGATCACCTACTGTCGAGAATGCGGCCCACCCGGAGGTCGATCATGGAGGGGATAGGCGGGCCGGCCTCGTCTGCGGCGGGCTTCTTCTCGGCGGCCTTGGGCTCTTTGGGCTCCTTGGCCTTCTTCTCCTTCTTCTGCGCCTTGCCCTCCTTCTCGCCGCCCTCGGCCGCCTTCTCGCCCTCCTCCTGCGCCTTCTTCGCGGCCTTGTCCACCTTCGCTGCCGCCTTGGCCGCCTTTTCGGGCTTCGCCGCCGCCTTGTCCCCCTCGGCAGGCGCGGCAGGTGCGGCTGGAGCCTTGCTCTTCTTCTCCTTGGGGGGCTCGGGCTTGCGCTCCTGCGGCGGGGCGTTTTCGAGATCGAAGGGGACGACGGAGAAGGCGGGTGCTAGTGGCTCTGCGGCTTTGCGGACGGAGGGACGGTGCTGGACGTGGTCGAAGTAGCGGGTGATCGCGGGATGGGAGTAGTATTGCGCTGGCTGCAGTTGCGACTGCCGTGGGACGTTTCAGCAACGAGAAGGATGCATGAGACTTGGAAGGCTTACCACCACGGGGTGGAGCGCGCCATAGAGAGCGACGTCTGCGGCGGTGAAGTAGTTCGCGACGAGGTACGTGCGGGGAACGAGGGACGCTTCGAGGTCCTGCGCCGTGTCATTCATCCGGACGATCACCGGCCGCTGTGATGGCACACACCTTGAGGTTCTCCGCCTTTGCGACGTGGCCCTGCGCGACGGTGTCGATCCACTGTGCGACCTCGGCCTTGTCGTTCTCGGACTTGCCAAAGTCTTCGCTGCCGTCCTGTACGACGCCGGAGACGAGATCTCGGAGGGGAGGAGCGAGCTTTGCGATGGAAGCCTGTACGGACATTTTTCTGAGAGAGACGTGAGCTGCAAGCAGCGATCGATGGACAGGCAGCAGCAGTAGTCCCAGCCCTCGAGTCAAGGACCGCATTTTGGCTGAGGGCGCTCACGTGCACGCGTCCGCTGCAGCGCGTTCTGTGACCTGCATTTTGCGTGACGGTCACAGACGCGCGTTGTACGCAGCAAGGCCCCTCGCTCCTGCGTCGGTGTCTGCGACAGTCGCCACCTATGCTTTCTCCCTGGCAGGCGGGGGCCCGCCATGCCCTCCGCTCCTTCTCCACCTCTGCGTCCGCACGCGCCGGCATCGTCTCCAACATCGGCAAGCAGCCCATCACCATCCCCCCCTCCGTCACCCTCTCTTCCTCCCCGTCCGAGGTGCTCGTCAGGGGCCCGCTCGGCGAGACGTCCGTGCCCCTCATGCCCTTCCTCAAGCTCGCCGACTCCCAGCCAAACACGCTCTCTGTCTCGGTCGAGAACCCGAAGGAGCGCAAGCAGCGCTCCATGTGGGGCCTCACGCGCACGCTCATCCAGAACGCCATCATCGGCATGACCGAGGGCTTCACCACGCCCGTCTACCTCGTCGGCGTCGGCTACCGTGCGGCGCTGGAGCCGGACCCGCGGGGCGCAGGCGAGGGTCGCAGCGGGCAGCGGCTGAACATGAAGCTCGGGTTCTCGCACTCGGTGTTCGTGTCGATCCCGGACCACATCAAAGCCGAGGTCCCGCTGCCCACGAAAATTGTGCTGAGCTGCACGGACAAGCACAAGCTCGGCCTGTTCGCGGCGCAGATCAGGGCGTGGAGGCCGCCAGAGCCGTACAAGGGCAAGGTGCGTCGCGGCGTGTCGTCCTCCGCCTCGGGCGCGCGTGTGTATGGCTCGCTGACGCTGGCATACGTGGGGCGCGTAGGGTATCATTGTGGGGAACGAGCGGATCAGGATGAAGACCGTGAAGAAGAAGTAGACGTGGGCGTGGTCGCGCTCTGCTTTGGTTATGTTACTCGATTCCGTAATGTGCATGCTATGATTCTCACCTCGCGGTGCCAGTCGTCTGCCCGTGTCATCCAATCTCAGAAAACTGCGTTCGTTCTGCATCCCATCCGGGCTATCTCAGCTTGCGGGTGGAGTAGCACCCCCGGAGGCATTCTGGCATAGGCCGCTCGGCGTGCAGCAGCTTCCATAGGTCGCCTTAGCGGCACTTTTGTGGCTTCTCCTCGCTATGCCTCTGTTCCCGAGCCCAGGCGATGTTTCTGTCCCGCCAGATGGTTCCTGGGACGTCAGATATTGCATCGTGCCGGAAATCTTCTAGCAAAGCATCCTTCAATCACCATGCAAGGGAAGCATGACGTTCAACCAACGAGTGCAACATGTCAGCTATTGACAGGATCCGCCCTACAGCTGAGCTCCTCTGACGTATGGTCCTGTCTTCAGTTCACCGTTTAAAAGCCGATATATTTGTGGCCGACGCCATGCCCATGGCTGTTACACGGCTCGCTCGAGGGAACCCGTGCGTTCCCGCCCATCCTCACAGTCTTTACCCCGGCCCACCCTCTCTCTCGTTCCCCTCCCGACTCGCCCATCATGTGGTGGCCCTCGGTGTCCGATTCGACCTCCCCCGGTGGCACACTCGGTGTGCTCGTCCTCGCAACTCTCATCGCCGGCATGTGCGTAGACGGACCATCGCGACGGCACCTGAACGCTGACACTCGGGGGGCGATAGATTGTATGGCATCACGGTCCTCCAGAGTGTACAGTACGCAGACAAGTTTTACAACGACCCCTCGCTCTTGAAATTCATGGTGAGTGGCGGCTGTTTGCTCTTGGTTGCGTGCTCGTGTGACTCGGTGGCATCTTCTGAACAGGTTGCTGTTCTCTGGTACGGTTGCTGCGTGGCGAGGCACCTTGTAGCCCCCGCCAGGAACTCACTTCTAGGCAATAGGGCATTCGAAACGATTACGGTGATCTCCGAAGCGCACGCTCTGTATACCTACTCCGTGTCTTATAGCGGCACTTTGTTCGCTCTCGTTCCTCTCCCTTGGTACGGTCCCACTCTCATCGCTGGGGGAATTGCATTGTCTGATTCGGCAGTGCAGGAGCCTCCAGCTTGACCGCGCATTTTCCGTGAGTCTCTTGGGAAACAACATCATTTCCGTCCATCTCATCGTGAGGACCGATACAGTACGCAGTGATCTATGGGGTGCAGATGTACGTATCTGCTCTGTGGAGTCGCAGCGATGACGGGATCTGACGTGCGTCGCAGGTTCTATGCGGTCCGCATCCGACAATGTGAGCGCCTTGTACATCATTCCGTTGATTTAGTCGGCACGAACTAACCGAGCTCAGTGGGCAGGCGATATTGGTATTTCCCGGTCTTGACCGTAAGTTTCCGATGGCCGTGGTGTCATTGCAGTCTTGACAGCGATTCTGGCAGGGCCTGCTCGCTACTGGCGCTATCGGTACGTCGTGTGTCCTGGGCCGCATTCAATTCGAGTCCGCGAAGTGACGATTTGTGCTCGATCCGGCAGGAATGGGATTGGGTTGAGTGACTGATACCGGTTCATGCTCCTTTCTACTGACAACCTAGCGTGTACCCAGCGGCGACGGTCCAGGGGTAAGTGCGTTCTACCACGGACCGCGTGTACTGACAACTCAAGCAATCAATAGCTCTAGGTACACGATCGGCGACCCAAACGTTCCGAGTTGGATTAATGTGAGCGCACGTCCTTACAGCTACCAGCATCGCCGCCGTTCCTGTGCTCATTGACACACAGATTTTGTCCACCACGAGCGCGGGCCTCCAAATCGGCGTCGACGTCCTCATAGCCGGGGCACTTTACTGGTTCTCCCGCAACCGTGCAGGGAACTTGAAGTGCGTCACCCCTTCCCCTAGTTGCTTAAGTTCGCAAACATACTAATTGCCTGACGGCAGGAAGCGCGCCCTCGTGAAGCACACTCTGGTCTCCGCGATCAACAGAGGCGTGATTTCGACGTATGTAACGCCTGCTCATTGTAAATACCCGGATGGACAATCTGAATGTCACTTTGACAGACTGCTGCAGGCCATGATTACGGTATCGGTGAGTCAGAACTATCAGACCGCGGAGTGCGTCCCGTCCTGATACTTGCGCAAGTACTTCGCGTTGCGTCCCCGCATGATATGGCTCGCGTTCCAAATGGCCAACAACAAAGGTGTGTCCGCAGACCCTCGTCGTACCCGACAGCGCGCGGGCTCCTAACGCTTCCCGAACAGTACACGCTATGTCCTTGTTGTCGACGTAAGCACGGTCCTCCACACGACGAACCCACTGCTCAGTCCCTATATTCACAGCCTGAACACGCGATCCTCTGTCGACGGTGTGGGCCACGACCCCGAGATCGTCGACGCCAGGCTCAGATACCGCGTCGAGCGGGAGCTCGCAAACGTACGCCGCGATTCCACCTCCCCTCACTGCCCCCACGGACCCCCTTGCTGACCAGCCAGTCTCTTGTTCTCGCGTGGGTACAGTCGGACGGCAACAGCGAGTTCCAGTCGCGTACCGAGTCTCCGCCGATCATCCCGGTGCGTACCTACACCTTCCGAGGCGCTGGTTGTAGCAGCGCACAACCCCATCGATCGGCGGCGCTGACAATACCTCCCCCTGTCCGCCCTTGACAGGATTTGGGCCACGGCCTCATGAGCAGCCAGAGCTCGTGGTTCGCGAAGTCGGAGGAGGGCGGGCTGGCGCGGTACGCACCGAGCTACCACGCGCGGTCGACCACTGCCGTGGAGAGCCAGTCCGCTGCGTGAGGCTCCGCGGCGGACATGCATACGGGAACTCACTCCTCTCTGCCGCCCCGTGCGGAACTGGGTGCCTCGTTCCGCGGTGCCATGCGCTCCCGAGGGTCGCATACCCCGACATTGCGTGTTTTTGTTTGGTTTCATGCTCGCATCTGGACTTTTGTTCCTCAATTCTTCCTTGTGACACTCGCAACCGTGGTACAGTAGTCGAAGTACCGGCGGCTCATGCTGGTCGTACCTCTCATGACAATGGATACGCACATTCTTGCTCATAGAACATGGGGCTTGGCCCCGACGCTCCAAGCTTCGCTAGGAAGCGATCGGACGCTCTACCGACCACCTGTAGCGCCATGGCTTTTCCTCGGAATCCTATTTAGGCAAGCAAGAAAGTTCATTGCGTGTGGCGCGGTGCCTGCAGTCGTCAACGATGTTGGAGCCGCCGGGCTGAACCGCACATATTCTGCGTACAGCCAGATATCTGCCGCCTCCCTTGAGCGTGGACGCCGTGGAGACGTATCCGCTACCGGGTACCGAGTGTCGGGCTTCTGAGTGTGTAGGAGATTTGCGGGCCCGGGCTCCCTTGAAATATCCACAGGGGTTACTCTTGCACATCTGATCGGGGGATGGTCGTCCTGAAGAAACGCCTTCGTCGCCGGCCCCATCGAAGCTTGCATCGGCGCGGCGGGCTGGTCAGACGTCATCGCTTTACGCCGAGTGTCCATCAGCCTACGATGTAGACGGAGGTTTTTCGTTGTACTTCGGGCTGCTTTGCGGAGGTGGTCTCCGACGGTTTATATTGTGGAGCCTTGACGGGCATAGCGAACGAGCCCTGGGTGTGTCGCAGGCGGGACTGTAGCTATGTACGGTGGTTATGTACCGACCCGCGATGGACGAGCTGGGCCACATTGGGCGACCGACGTCGCGTTGCGCGCGGACAGTTTCGCGTGCTCAGTCTCGATGGTGAATCAATACTCGAACAAGTGCAGGATGGCGGGCTGAGAAGGGGCGCCACCCGGAGGCCGGGAGGACCGGGCGTTAGTACAACAGATCGTTTGTCATCGGGGTCGAGTTGGCAGATTGGGCGAGTGCGCGACGGCTGCGAGGCGTCATCGGGCTGATGCACCCTCCCGATTCACTCTCGGAACAGCCACCCATGGCCATCTCCCGCACGCGCCCTTCTCCTCCCCTTCTCCGGCGCTGAGTCCGCCAGCCTATAAAACAGCCCCTCCTCCGTCCACACAATTTCACTTTCCCCCTCCCCTGCATCCTTTGTTCTGAATCCCCTGCACAAGTCCACACACACACCATCATCCCGCACAAGTATCGAAATGGCACCGAAGGACAAGCAGGCAACAGTCGAGGAGTTTCGCGAGCTGCTCGCATCGCAGGACCTCATCCGCGAAGGAGACACCATAGGCACCGATGACGAAACTCTGCAGTAAGCGTTCTTCCTTGCCTTCTCAATTCCCATCAAACACTTGCTATCTCCCCGCTTGTCGAACTCCACGTTGATCTTTTTTTCCCTTTCCCGTGCTATGAATGTTCCAACCGTCCGGCAGCCGCTTCCTCCGAGCGCGCAGCTACAACCTCAAGAACGCTGCGACAATGTGGAAGAACTGCCTAGAGTGGCGGCGCACGGTAGAGGACCGTGGCATCGACCAGCTCTACCGCGACATCGACCCCTTTGACGTACGTAACCTTTTAAGCTTACCTCGACACCTCCCGATGCCGACCTTGTGCGTCTCTTCTTAGTACCCGGAGCGCGACCTCGTCTTCGAGAGCTGGCCGCTATATTTTCACAAGGTACGTTCCAAATATACATCCGTGTGTGTGATCGCATTAAACTGACTGCGGAATACAGTTGGATAAGGTTCGTGCGCCGTCCTGCACCGCTATCCAACACACCCCCCCTTCTCATGCTGTGTCGTGTGTGTATCATCGTATGTTTTGCAGGAGGGACACCCGATCAACATCCACCACTTTGGCCGCATCGACCTCACGAAGCTCGGCGGCAAGATGAGCCTGGAGCGCTTCTGGCAGACCGTGCTCGTCAACTGCGAGGCGCTCCCACGCGAGGTCCTCCCCGCCGCCACCGAGGCGGCCGGGAAGCCCATTTTGGGCACATGCGTGGTTATCGACCTCTCGGGCTTCGGGTACGTACATTCGGTCCCGGACCAGCCAGCCTTGGGGGTTTCCCGCGCGCTAACGCCCGCACGCGTACCTCTCTCTTAGCATCGGCCAGTTTTGGCACATGAAGGACTTCGCACGGAGTTCCTTCCAGGTCTCGCAGGACTACTTCCCTGAAACGTGAGCCCGCACATCAGCCCTGTAGGCTCTCTCCACACACACAGGAACTCACGCGTGTCCGTCTACAGCGTCGCCCGCCTCGCGATCGTGAACGCGCCCCGCGGGTTCACCGCGATCTGGAACGTCATGAAGCCGTGGATCGCGAAGGAGACCGCGGCGAAGGTGACGATCATGGGCTCCGACTACAAGTCGAAGCTGCTCGACTTCATCGACGCGGACAGCCTGCCCACGTACCTCGGCGGCGCGTGCACGTGCGACGGCCAAGGCGGCTGCAAGAAGAGCAACGCGGGGCCGTGGATGCACAACCGCAGGCGGCGCCGCGAGCTCTGGCTCGAGGGCAGGCGCGACACGTGTGCTATCAAGCCTGGGGAGCTCGGGCAGGAGCAAGTGAGCGAGGACGCAGCGCTCCGGGAGGAGCACGAGCGCGCCCCGGCAGAAGAAACGGAAGCGGGGACCCACACGCCGCCGACACAGCGCAAGGAGCTCTCTGGGAGCACGTCGGAGACGTCGTCGGTCGAGACGTCGTCGCCTACGACGCCGTCGTTCAGCGTGCACGAGGACGGGGACAGCCATCCCGACCCGCACAAGCTTGACGGGCCCCCGGGGCTGTCGCAGGAGAAATCCGTCGACCACGTCTATGAGCAGCATCCCGAGACGCGACAGGTGCAGGGCGGCGCCTTGCACAAGGAGGCCCCTGTGCAGGTCGTTGCGCACTAGCAAGTCTCTTCTCCCCCCCTCCCCCTCTCCCCCTACCTCCACTCCTTCTCCTCCCGTATCCTGCGAGACGCAGAGCCGATTATTTATTGGCGCGAAGCTGCTTGCGTCGTGTGCAGAGTGGTGTGCAGTATATCCGTGTAGAACGGCCTCGAGTGTAGCTGAAGTCGTGTATCATAGTATTTGTGGTAATTGATTGTGTATTGTAACCTTATCTGTCGAGGCCACCGTGTTGCACTTTGGTGCTTCCATCAGTAAGTTGTGTGTCAATGTCACGCATCGTATATCGATTGCTTCTGACCATTGGCTTGAGATCGCTTGAACACAAACGGTGAATGGTCAGGAGCATCATGGTCGCAGTGTCGTATCTTGTATCGTGCAAAAGGTATATGATCACGAAGTCCATCGACAGGTAGCGTAAGCTATGCAAGCAACGACCAGCCCCCCTTCGAGCACAGAGCTCAGAAGGTGGGGATGAAGTCATGTATCCTGTCGCGTGCGTTCTGGGCGATACACTCCGCTATCCACGTGATGCTCCGGATCTCCTGCTCCTTCAGCTTGATGTAGCTGTAGAACACGCCGTACTGGAACTGCTGCAGGAACGCGAGCTTGTTCAGGTGCACCTCGTGCACGAAGAACCGGTCCTCCAGGTCCGCCGCGGCGCCGAGCTCGTCGCTCACGCCCAAGTCCCCAAGCAGATTCGCCGTGCTCTCTCCGCCCCCGGCGCCCGCGCCGTTCGGCTGGCGAGCGCCGGGGGACGTGTCGAAGAACGCGCGGTACTCGGCGATGGGGTCGACGGCCTGGCGGACCTGGTCGACGTCGTCGGCGCGGGCGAGCGCGTTGTTGCCCTCAGGGAAGAGGCGGCCGATGGTGGGGAAGAGCTTGGCGCGCTGCTCCTTGGTGAGCTGCGTGCCGAACGAGTTGATGGTGATGTTGATCGCGCGGCGGTCGGCCTCGAAGGCGAGGATGGCGTGCATGACGTCCGCGGTGGGCCCGCCGACGGACTGGCAGAAGGCGTCGAAGTCCTCGAGGTAGGCTTTGTAGAGCGTGTTGCGGATGATCTCGATGTTGAGGTCGTCGAGGTCTGCAGCGGAGACGGCGTCGCGGAAGTAGGGGGCTGGAGAGGGGCGATGACACGGGCAGGGGAAGGAGGACGTGTGAGGGTGTGGACGGGTGCGGGGTGTGAGTGGGACGGGACGTACCGAGGGGTGTCTCGACTAGGACGGTGTGATACAGCTCTTCCACGTTTGTAGCAACGCAGAGCGCGGGCATCGTGTCGAATACGCCTAGAGGGTGGCACCGTTGAAGCAGCTCGTTGGTGTTCCGTCCGTGCAGCGTCCCGGTAATGATTAGTATGACGTTGTCAATCATGTACGCGTACCTGCGAACGTATGGCCATGTCAGGCAGATGCGTAATGCTCTCACTAAGATGGAAAACCCACGTCATGTACTCCAGGAACTTGTTTAAAGGTTCTGTTGCATTGCTCCGGAGGTAGTTGAACTGGTCCACAAGTAGTTGCGTCGCCTTGTCCGAGATGGTCGAGGTGGAGATGGGAAGAGGCTCATTTGCGAGGAAGTTGCCATAGTCCGTGGAGGACAGCTGTGTCCGGAGGTCTACACTCACGAAGTAAATGCTCAGTCCCCGCGATGTCATGTATGGAGCAAAGACGTACCCTCAATAGTCTCGCATTGGACGAGGTTGTTGTACTGGTTTTGGGTAAGGAGACCCGCCTTGTACCCCCTAACAATGCCCTCCAGAAAACCAGTCGATACCTGCGAAGCCAAGACCTGTTGAGCGGGCCCAGACGCAAGAGCAGGGAGAAGTGCGCACGTTGAATAGAAGGGCCTCCATGTCGAGCAGCGTACCGCTAGACGCGCGTCAGTACCTCGGCCTGAGTGTAGCTGCCCGAATTCCCACACCACACTCCGGGCCGCGAGACCGGAGTCGATGGCCGCATGAAGCATTTCCCGCCGATCCCCAGTCCGGGGTACGGCTCTCTCACTTGCCGATCCATGGTGATTTGACCGGGACAAAACGCCATGGACTTCTGCAGCAACCCCCTTTGCTCTGCGACCATTAAGAAGAGTGCCGACGAGCTCTAGTTCGTTTGTTCAGGACTGCAACATGAGCTCGGCCGCGGAGAACACGTCGAAGAAGACGACGAAGGTTACGATTCCCCACACCGTCGAGCAAGGAACCACCATCACCGGCGTGCTGGAGCAAGTTGCTCCTGAGGAGCCTTCGCAGGGAAGGAGGATAGCATTGGTCCGTAAGCAAGCTTCGCCTTCAGAGAGAGATCATTGTACTGAATTCATACATTCAGATCCTCCATGGAGCCATGGGGTGAGCTTCGATCGGCATCCTTGCGTGTGCCATTCGTTCATTGTTGTTCCCGCACAACCTCAGCCATAAAGACTACCTCTTCCAGAAGCGTCTTGCACAACGTCTGCCCATAGACTCATTTCGGTTCGATTTTCGGTGCGTCCGCTTGTGTCTCTCACCTGCGTTCCCGAACCTCAACATCTGTGCACAGAGGCAACCACGAAACGCCGGGAATCTGGAAGTACGGCCACTTCCTTGACGACGTTGCCGACCTCGAGATCGTCGTCGCCTACCTCCAGAAGGAATACGGATACGTCATAGACATGCTCGTGGGCCATTCTCGAGGAAGCGTCGTCTCCCTCCTGTGGATATGTAAGCATAGAGATGGCGACGCGAAGACCGTGCGGAGATACGTGAACGTATCTGGCCGGTATAGAATGACGGTGTGTCGTCTCGCGATTATCCCCTGTGACCGCTCACGCTGACCCCCGATGATATAAGAAAGTATATGGTAAATTGTTTTGTCAGCTGGGCCATGTTTCGTCGAGCTGAACAAATGTCAAGATGACATGAACGCGAACAAGGAACAGCTTGAACGTCAAGGATTTATCGAGAGACGGGCAACAGTCGCTCGCAAGCCGTTCGTGGCCAGGTAATAGCATTCGGATCAACTATAAAGATCAATTCGCTGACTCGGTGTCATATCTAGGATCACTAAGGAAGACTACGACTCATTTGCCTCAGTTGACACGTCGATCGCCTGGACTCAGTTCCCAGCGAGTATCGACGTGCTCACATTGCACGGGCTCAGGGACGCTGTTGTCCCTCCGTATGACGCTTTCATATTTGGGCGTATATACGGCGCACGTAGCCCTGGTACGCATACACTTCGTTACGTGGAAGAGGCAGACCACAACTTCACTGGCGTAAGCATATTCCATTCGTGGCGATTACAATACTGAGCTGCGTGTGATCAGATGCCGGACGAAGTCAACGATACTATCCTGGAATGGATGGCACAACAGGAGAGAAACGAACTTACGACGGGTCTTTGGCACACTGGACTGAGGAACAAGCTGTAAGTTCTTCCTGGGGGGTATAGATGTTCTGCGTCTAAGCATAGAGAGTATCCATAAGTGTCATGCCGGAATTATGCATAGAGAATTATGGGGTATACCGCGGCGTATCGTACAGCACGAGCTACTATACAAACCTAGCCACAATATCGTATCATGCTACGGCAACGGCAGCCGCTGTCTGCTCCTCGGCCGGATCCGCTATCACCTCTTCCCTCTGTTGCTGCTGCTGCTTCTTCTCTAGCCGAGCAGTCTTCGCAGCTCTCCAGTCGAACTCAAGCCGGCCGTCCTTCTCCATCTCCTCTTTGACGCTCACGACTAATGTCCTTAACTCCTCCTCCTCCATCTCCGATAGTGCTCTTTGCCACGGCTCGACCACAGCAGTCACTGGCGACGCGGGTCCTCCACCCGCCGCAGGGAGGCATCCAAGCCTCTCCTTCACCTCGTCCATGACGAAGCGAATAGGCTTGCCATTCACGCCCGTCCATGCGTTCAAGTTCGTCCCGTTCAGGAGCTCCTTCGCCCGCTTCTGCGCGCGGCTCGCGTACACAAGCGCAGCGTGCTCTTCGGCCTTCCCGAAGAACCTGAGTGCGGCGTCAATCTTCTCTGGGACGTTTCCCTCTACGGCGAAGAGCGACGTTGTTGAGCTGATCCCGGAGGTGCAGGCAGGGAGCTCCTGCGTGCGGAGGTAGTTGATGAACTTCATGCGCATGGGGCGGTCATGGAGGCGCTCCTTCGTTGAGGCCTCGTACTCTGGGGAACGATAGCGCGCGACGAGAACGTGGATGAAGGGCGAGGTGGCGAGCCAGGCGAAGATATCGTGCTGTGTCGTAAAACCTTGTCTCCACCTGTCCATCGAGAGTCCAAAGAACGACAGGATGTCGTCCATAGAGTACGAGAGGTAGTACGTTTGTGGTGGGTAGGTGCGGATCGGCTCTGCGAGCTGCAAGACACGAGATGTTGAGCGGGGCGATCCTTCGTATCAAGGAGGGATGTGACAGGACACGACGCACCCTCAGCCCGTAAATGCTGAATGACAGCCCTGCTGTCTGCGCGAGGACCCCAAGGAAGAACACAAGATCCCCATACGACGAGCAGAAGACGGTACGCTCCCATTGCGCGTAGTCCCCATTCACGTTCAAGTCGACTTGGAAGGTCACCTGCGCGTCCGCGTCCCTCGCGCCTCCGTCCTGCTTGGGCTCAGAGGCAGCGGCGACGGCCTTGTGCGCCTGCGCGACCGCCTCGAACGCGTCAACAGGGATCGCGAAGTTACTCGTCCTGTTTCCCTCCTGGGGTATGCTGCACGTCGCGCGCAGCGCAGCCCTGACTTCCTCGTGCGTCAGGCCATCGCGCGGGCCAGCCACGATGATGTCCAGGTCTCCAAAGTCGGCTTTCTCCGGGGCTTCGGGCGAGACGGTGGCGTGTGCATAGAAAGATTGCACGATGGGGAGGACCTGAGCTTTCAGAGCGTTGTAGACCGCGGGGTGCATACGCGGGAAGGTGGCGTGCGGCAGCAGCCGCTTGAATGCGTTTCCGCCCATGAGACAACGGAGTGCTGTGGTAGCGGAGTAGTGTGTGGGCGGTATCAGACCATGTCAGACCATGACATGCTTGTTTTATAGGATGGGAATGGCCGTGGACGTTGGCAATGATGCCGCAGTGACTCGGTTCCGGCGCAAGTGCAATGACGGCCTGAACTTCATGGCGGTGGCTGCTGCGTCAGTCGAAGCGCTGGCGGTGCCAAATGTACTTATTTAGAGAGGACTAAACCAATGTTATAACGTTTTCTCTTTAGCCTAATTCAGCACTTATCTGAGTTCAGACATTCGCGAATCGCCAACGCTGCGCGTCTTCCTTGGTCTCTGCTTTCCACACGCCGTCTGCCAGTACTATTGCTGTTCCCGTACTTTAGATACCCCTTAAACTTGTCACAGTACCCTCCACGAACAATGTCTAAGTACGCGCCGCACCGCAAGTCCGCGAACCAACCCAGAGCCACGGCGACTACAGTGTGCCAGAAGTGCCTCGGAACAGGTTCGTAGATCGCTGCAGCACACAGTCCCGAAGCCCAAGCTGATGTATGACTAACTGTCTCCAGGGCACTTCACATACGAATGCAAGGGCCAACGACCGTACGTCTCCCGCCCCTCGCGTACGCAGCAGCTGGAGAACCCGAAACTACTCGCGAAGTTGAAAGCGGACGGGAAGCCGTCCGTGGAGGTGCCCGAGGAGTTTAAGTCCAAGTACGTATATATTTCTTATGCCTCATGCCACGCGATCGTCTTAATGCTCGAAGCAGGAGTGGCACAGCGAACCGTATCCTTGAACAGAAGGAGAAGGAACGCTCGAAGGACAAGGGCGAAGGCTCCTCTCGCAAGCGCGGACGGTACGCTCCCCCTTACGCTATGCGTGCCGTAACACACGTACTTACACAGCAACCCCAGCTCGGAATCCATGTCATCATCTTCGTCCGACTCAGACTCGGACTCGGACAGTGATAGCGATAGTGATAGCAGCTCCGACTCAGGCTCCTCCAGCTCCTCCTCCTCATCCCACTCTGATTCAGGCGACTCGCGCCGCTCCCGGAGCCGAAGCCCACGAAGGAAGCGGTACCGCAGCGATAGCCGCAGCAGGAGCCGGAGTCCCAGGAGTAGAGCGTAAATGTGTCGTTCGACAGCCACCGTGCTCGGCTTCTTGCTCCTCTTTCGTTGTGTTTCTGATAGGTTTCCGTACATTATGTAAAGCACCTGCATATGTTTCGGGTATGTATGATATGACATTGTTCCATGCAGGAGTCCATTAGCAAGCGAGAAACACACGCGGCAGCGTAAGTACGGGAGTGGGGAGAGAGGGGTAGTCGACCGACGTTTCAAGGGCAACGCGCTGCCTCTGATGCTCGTGAGTTCATGATGAGTGCGACGATCAGGCTGAACGCAAGCTACGTCAGCATGACCAGTACTGGGAAGATGGCCTTATGACGCACCCGTACAACCCCAGCACCTCGCCGAAGATGAGTATGAGCACCATCGTCACGAAAACCTTCGACTCGAACACGTATGCTCGTACACACTACAAGATGTGTGTTAGCACACTTCCGCCCTCAACGGTCTGCACTCACCGAGTCGCCCACGAAGCCAATCGCGTAGCCCGCGGCGAGACCAGTGAACCCACACGCGAGACCCGCACCTAGGTGGACGAAGCCAGCATATAGCGAGTAGTCGGTGGGTTTGACTGCGAGAGAGAAGAGAGCGATAGAGAGTAAGTAATCATGAAGCCAGAGCTGAAACAGTTGGGACGCGCGAAGGACCAGGAGGTGAAGCACTTACGTCCACCAGCAATAAGCACGGACACCACCAAGCCGTACACGGCAATGATACCGGACATGACCACCGGGATGAGGGACTGAATACATGAGTTGCGCATGATGGGTCAGAAACTGTGTAGTAGCCCTTCCCCCGTACGTACCTTCATGACCAATTCAGGCCTGAATGTACCCAAGCCTGCGATGCCGATGCCCGACTTCGCTGTACCAAACGCCGCTCCGACCGCTACCGTGCGAAGTATAAGCCAGCGCCCCGTCATTGAAGCTCATGGTAATCTCGCCAGGTGTACGTACTGCTGAAGATCATCTGCATGGCGTAACGCACTAGGTCAGAATACGAAGCACAATGACATGGTAGACGTCAGGCGAACGCACCGCGGAGGCGACCCCGGCAAAACCAAAGAAGGGAGCGTACGGCGGACAGACGGACATTTTGGCTAGACAGATGGGTAGTGGAATATGATGGCGTATGCGTAAAGGACGTCGTTGAGGTTGTCGCAATCGGGTACTGGACGCTCGGCGTCGCGCTCGCTAGGGTTCCGAGTTTGGTGATGTGGCCTAGGGTTACAACTATACACATGCCGACGCTAGTACTGGCACCATCTCTTCCTCGGACTCCCCACGAATGACTAAGAAGCGGACCAGGCAGGAACTGGCTTATAGTAAGCCCTTTCAGAGTATTCGGTGTCAATTAGGTGGTATACTACTGAGTGTTGAGCTGCATTACGATATTCATAGGTACAGAAGTGAAAGTCCATTAAGGAGACGCAGGACCTCTACGATATCGGCCGGCAGCAGATATGCCTTGCCTGCAATTCCAACGACATTCAGTATTCCTCGTCCGAGTAGCTGTCCCCGTCGCTGTGATGTTCTTCGCCGTCGTCTCCTGGGCCGTTGGTTTGGTTCTGCTGGCGCTCCCGCCGCTGCCTCTCTCGTTCCTCAGCAGCAGCCTGCTGCCGCGCCCGCTCTTCCTCCATGTCATACACAGCATGCTCAGTTTTCCGTGCCTCTGAGCCGACCTCACCCTTGAGGAATCGCTCAAAAATGTCAGGCAAGAAGAGCATGTTCGAGACCTTCTTTTTCTTCCCGTCAAGCTCCTACAGGCATACAGTTCAGTATCAAAGCTTCGAATTTGCCACCGAGTGAAGCGAGCTACTCACACCTCGGTCGCTACGCGCATCCTCGACCGGAGCCTGTGAGACTATGAGTTCCGGCATGCGCAGGATATACAAGGCATGCTCACCCCTCCTTTAGCCACGGTGATGACTGGTCTATTGGTGGGAGGATTGACTTTCCACATGTAGTGTCCGTCCTTGTCCGCTTCGATGGTGACATGGACATCCCAGCTCGCTGCAGCCAAACGTCTATCAGCACCCCTCCACAACGCAGCGTATCCTGCAAGGACATTTCACTCACAGCTCAAATCGTATTCGAGGTGGATCGCGATCTCCTCGTTGCTGCACTCGCCCTTCGTGAAGTTATCCCTGCTCTTCGGCGCCCATATGTCCCCCAGCGTCACCTCGTCGTCCTTCTTCCACGGGACCTGCAGCTCCTTCCACAGCCGCTCCCACCTGCTCATCGGCTCGTAGTCCTCGTCGAAGTGTGGCTCGAAGTCCCAGCCCAGGCTCTTGCGCCCCTTCGGCGCGACGCGCAGCGCGGGCTCGCGCTCGTGCCTGCTGTAGTCCTGGTACCACTCCACCCAGCCGTCCTCGCCGCGCGCGGGCCTCGGAGGCACCTTCCAGTACCGGTGCTTCTTCACCTCGCCCTTGCGCCCCGGGGAGGCGTACTTCTCGACGTGGGTGAGGACCTCGGCCTGGTGCCCGTGGTAGCCGGACCAGCCGAAGAGGAGGAGGATGAGGCGGTAGAGGTGCGCGAAGGTGAAGGTGAACGGGACGCGGACGACGCGGTACACGCCTTGGAAGCGGCAGAGCTGGAAGCGGAGCTGGATTTCGCAGTTGCTTGGCGGGGGCAGCAGCGTGGAAAGGTCGGGCTGTGGACGGCGACGTTTCGCAGCAGGGGACTCCTCTAAGCTTAGGGCGGCCTCTTCTAGGGCACGTTTGGACGACCCAGGTTGAGGCCCGTGAGCTTGATTCGGGGCGGTGTGCAACTGATTGACGTTGTTGCCGTCGAGTACGCCGGTATTCGACATGGTGGATGTGGGTCGGGTCTGAATAGAAAAACTGGACCATACCATCTTAGCATGGCGACCAGTATTCTTCGTAGTGATGGGAGACGGAACAACTTACTAAGTATTAGCAGGATGTGGGCTGTATGTTTCAAAGAAAGGGGGGCAGTATATCGTATAGCAGGAGGTGTCGCTAAGGGAAGGGGTGGGACATGGGCGATGGATTCGGGTCGTCGGAGTGCGACTCCACGCGCAAATTCTGCAATGTCGCGCATCCCACGTGATCGCGATATGTACCACTGCGCCGTCTGCTTTGGTGACTTTCTTGGCTGATTAACTCGTGTCAAAGTGCTTAAGTTCATAAACTATGATACATGCTGACAGGACCAGAGTCCTGCCGCTCTGCAGCTGCGTATGGGCTAGTATACAAGTGGCCTGATTCGGACCATGCTATTCCTACAACCTTGGCCTTCCCCCAACACCATGACCGGCAGAAGTCATTCTTCGTTCTTCCACGCGTCGTCCCAACCCAGCGCACTCCGATCCCAGCCTCCCTCCTTCTGTCCATGCGCCACCCACCCGAGCGTATCCATCACGACCCCAGCCGCCCTCACGAACAGCGTCCCGTCCACCTTGGCGATCCCCGGGTGCGTCTCCCTCCCTTCAGCGTCGAACGCTCCGATGACCTCTCCAGGTGGTATGCGGCCGTACTTCTGCGCGGCGTAGTAGAGGGCACGGACAGCCTTGACGGTGTGCGCGTCGGGCGCGTGGAGAACGTCGGACACGATGACCGGCCACGGGTTATGGTCCTTCGGGTCACGCGGGTCCCCAACGGCATCTGCGTGTGACTCCGCCACGTCCACGTTGGGCGGCGGGCGCGGAAACTCGGTGAACGACATCGCCAGCCCCGGGTCGATCCTGGGCCGTCCGCGGATGGTGAGGTACGCGAGGAGCACTGGGGGGATCGCGCGGAGCAACGCCGCCTTTGACTCGGTCGTGGGGATCGCCTGGAGGAGCGAGGGCACGAAGAGCGACGCGTTGAGCAAGTGCATCAGGAAGAAGTCCAGGCGGGCCTTGTGGCCAGGTTTGCCGGTGCCCACGAGGAGGAGAGTCGCCGTCCAGAGGAGCTCCTCGACCTTCTCGTCAAACTCGAGCTGGCCGCGTGAGGCGTCGATCTGCCAGAGCGCTGAGAGACGGCGGATCTCCTTGACGCGTGTGCCGTCCTCGAAAGCGGACTTGAAGCGGGCAGACAGGAGCGCATCAGGGTCGTAGGGCATAACGGGCTTCATGATTTCGGAATCGTACGCTTGACGGAGGATATGGAGCAAAGAAGAGCCCCTGTGAGGCTGCCGATGAGTAGGTCGTCTCGCCTTGTAGTCGAGGACCGTCAAGGGTGGAGGCGCGTTGCTGAGGTCGAATAGCTCTGGGTGAAATGCGTTATGCACCGCTGTTTGGGCCAGAGCTGGGAACGTTATGTCAGTCCTTGAAGGTCACCAATGAACATGCGAGGACGAGAACTGCATTAACCTTGCGCTATCATGGCGTCGCTACTAAACTCGGCACCGTACTGCAGTGATCGTGTCGTCAAGCCAGTCAAAATCGGCGTGCAAAGATATATGGCTCCCTTACCCCTGTCTGAATAAGTGGGTGTAACCTAGGGCGATCGTCAGTTTATCAAAACGGATATACATAGTTCCCTATACTTACGCGCCTCCAACGAATCGCAGCAGCATATACGCCTCATTGCCGTTTGCAGCAGGGGCGAACACGTATTTCTCAAGCACTTGCCCCGCACCAAGCCCGGCGATAGTCTTTGTGAAGAACTCGAGGTAGCTCGGATAGTACCTAAGGTAGTTCTGCAGTCAACCAGCTGCTTAGCAAGGAACTTAGGACATATCTGCGCGCACCTCTCGTCCCCGAGGAAGTTTGTCCAATTCTCATTGGTGATCGTCTCGTGTGCGGCCTCGATCTTCCCGCTCTTTCGTTCCCAAGTCTCAATATCCGACTGGGACTCGGCCTCGCGATCGTATATCTTCTGCAGGAGCGCGGCAGGCGCACCCAGGTCATACACTGCTAGGAGACTATGTAACAAGATCCGACATTAAGATGACGTTTTCCCAAGAAAAAGAGACCGGCTCACTGGTGGCTAAGGTGGTTGTGGAAACCGACTCTGCCATAGAAGCAATGATGTTTGTGCCGGTCCTCCTCTAGGACCCGTTCGGCGACGCGCTTCGCTTCAGGCGTCGTCCCTGGTAGGTTGAGGATACCTTGCCTGATTGTCGGTGGAAGTTGAGGAGATGCGGTGGGGTTGCCAGTCATCTTGAATGGTGAAATAGCTTGCACTGGGGGGCGGAGAAGCGAGAGCTTGAAGAATGCTAGTCCTGACTATGACGTCTGCGAACTGTTTCGAGGCTATCTGACACGTGGGAGCGATAGAGACGAGCTTACCAATGCTAAGGTTCAAGCCAAGTTCTTATTCGCAAAGAAGCCCCTTTGCTGAGCTCAATGGTCCTATTCATAAACCACGAGACCCTCGCTGCGCGCGACATGACTTAGTGCAGAGACGCAAGCCATATCGCGCAAGTGCTGGACTTTGAGCGCCTATGACATTCCCACATCGAGCGTTCCGAATGACTAGGCTTTGGACACGATGGCACGGGCCAGGATGGTACACATATCACATCATCATACGAGCATGCATGAAGCGTACAGAGCACTGCGACGGATGAAGGGACTTGTGATGTCAGTCAGACGAGTAAGTATGATATTGCAGCAGAACGACAGTCATGGCGCAGGCCCTATTCCTCGGGCTCCAACCGCCTTGGGCATCTTCCGGTCGCCTGTCGCAAGCTGCTCCAGGTCGGCCGCTTTGAAGTAGTGTGGCGCGACTGTGAGCGTGACAAGACGTTGATTAGCATTGCCCGTTCGGAAGAAGCATTGCTTGCAGGAGTACTTGCCTTCCATGAGCCATGCGGGCTTGATCTCCATGATCTGCCGCATATACGACTTGGAGGTCATGACGAGCTCATAGTAGAGGACAGTCTTGATAGGAGGCGTGTGGTTGAAGAGACTTGAAGACGGGTGAATATACACCGTTTGGTTCGTCTTCAGCGTCCGGTACGAATCGCCGCTCTTCTGAAGTGTTGCCTAAGAGGACGAGGTGTCAGATATCATCGTCACCAGCAGGGATTACAAGACATGCTGACCGTGTTGTAGAAGTACCCAGCAGTGATCGCCTTCTGAACCGGGGTGATGTCGTTCGTGTTCGGGTTGCTCTCCACGACAATCTCGACGCGTTCGCACAGGCCGGCGAGCTGGTCGCGGATATCTCGCGCACGACTCAAGCTCTTGAACTGCAGGAACTGTTCATAACAGAACTGCTGCGAGTAGTTCGTCTCCGCCCACTGCTCCCACACGTTTAGGAGCGTGAAGTGGTCGCCTCCCGCGCGGACGAAGTTTTGCCGCGCCTGGTCGGCGTGGAGCTTCTTGTCCTTCGGGCGGTAGAAAAGGGAGGAGGACTCCTGGAGCATGGAAATGATGGTGAGAACCTCGTCTGTGCACGAGTACTGCTCGCTCGCGATAATGGCTTTTGACAGCATGGGATCGACGGGGAACTCGGCCATCCGACGGCCCAATTTCGTGAGCTCTCCCCTGTCGTTCAGCGCACCAAGCGCATAAAGCAGTTCCAGCGCACGCATGAGCGTCTCGCCAGGAGGCGGGTCCATGAACTCGAAGCCGATGAGGTCGTTGATACCCAAGGATTTGAGTAGCAAGACAACCATGCCCAGATTCGTCCGCTGGATCTCCGGGACCGTGTTTTCTTCGAGTTCGTTTGCGTAGGCCCACTTTGTGTAGAGGCGGAAGGCCTTTCCGGGACCGACACGACCGGCACGACCTGCTCTTTGGTTGGCAGAGGCTCGTGAGCACTGGTAAAATGACAGAAAGGTGAGCCAAAGTATCGACGAGTTTATGAACGCAAGCACTTACAGGAACCACCACAAGTGATGACATTCCTGTCCGAGGATTATATGAGTTCTGCTTCACGAAGCCGGGGTCGATGACGAACACGACGCCGTCGATCGTGATAGAAGTCTCGGCGATGTTCGTCGCAAGCACGACCTTGCGCGCGCCCTCCGGTGTAGGTTCGAAGATCTTCGCCTGCATGTCACTCGGCAAGTTGGCATAGATCGGACAGATTATGAGCTCCTTGATCTTGTTACCCAGTGCTCGAGCCGTCTCCTGCAAGTTCTCGTGAGCAGCTTCAATCTCGTCCTGGCCCTGTGAACGTAGAGGTCAGGTATGAGTTTGGGGTCGTGTTAAGTCAAAGTCAAGGCTTACCGTAAGGAAGACGAGGATATCACCACTAGGTTGTGTCGTGTGGATCTGGAAGACGGTGGTGATCGCCGCATGCAGATAGTTGGCTTCTGGTTGAGGTGTGTAGTGAATATCCACGGGGTACCTACGACCAGGGACTGACCATAGAGTCAGCAGACACTCGCGCATGAGGTTAAGTTCGGATTCACCATAGAAGACCGGGGCGTTATCGAAGTATTCGGAGAACTTCTCGGCGTCCATCGTGGCACTTGAGATGAGCAACCGAAGCTCGGGTCGAAATCGCGCGATATCCTATGCACGCAGGAGGCATGAACGGTCTGCTGACAAAGCGCAACGGCAGTCAAAGACGCACCTTAACAAGAGCAAAAAGAATATCCGTACTTAGTGTCCTCTCGTGCGCCTCGTCAATGATTAGCGCTGAGTATCCCGCCAAGTCCGGCTCCGTGAGGAACTCTCGCAGGAGCATGCCGTCGGTCATGTACTTGAGCACCGTCTTGTCGCTCGTACAATCCTCGAAACGAATGGAATAACCGACCTCGTAGCCGACCTTCGTTCCCATCTCATCAGCGACACGCGCTGCGACGGACATCGCTGCAACGCGACGGGGCTGGGTACAGCCGACCTTCAAGCCGCCTGCGGTGTAACCAGCTTCGTGAAGGTATTGGGGGAGCTGAGTCGTCTTCCCAGAGCCAGTCTCTGCGACGACAATAAGGACCTGGTGTTCCTTGATGGCGTCGAGGAGCTGCTCGCGATACTGGTAGATGGGCAAGGACTTCCGAGTCTCATCCATGGTCTTGGCTGTCATACGAGTCAGTCTAGCCCAGGCGGTATGGTTGGCGAAGTTACGCACCTCGCTTCTCAGCCTCGTCGATCTGCTGCTGTAGTAACCTGTCCGCGGCACTCATTGTGTTCTCGCCGTCAAGCTTGGACTCTAGAACGAACTTGATGGTTTGACTCTCGTCGAAGACATACTCGTAGTCATCTACGAGTTCCTGCTTGTCCATGGCACCGGTCTTGAACGTACTGTGTTGTGTCTGCGCGGCCTCCCACTGGTCGACATCCGTTGTGAATTGGTCGTCCTTCGGCTTCGCCTCCTCGTAACGCCTATACAGGACACTCTCCTTCTTCTTCTTGTCGATCTTCCCCTGTTCCGTAAAGTAGTCCTCCGGCAGCTGGTACCCTTCCCATTTATCGTTGATCTTCAGCCGTTCCTCTACTAATCGCAATAGTTCCTTTTTCTTCTCCAACTCCCGCTTCTCCCTCTTCGTCATCTTCATACCATGGAACAGTGCTTCGTCGTCCGCGATCTCGCGCTTGAGCAGCTCGATCTGCTGAAGCTCACGCTTCGTGAGATACTCCTGTCGGGAGCGCTCCCGCAAGTTGGGCATTGCGCGGTCGCGGGCTTCTGCGTCGTCCGCGAGTCTACGTCGCTCCGCTGCCTCCGCCGCCGCGCCACTGCTCTTCGAAGATCGATCCTCTACCACCTTCTTCGTCTTCTCCTTGTCCCGCTCCCGAACACGCTCTGCGAATGCGTCTCTCTCGCGCAGGTCCTCCAGCCGCTCCCGTTCCCGCCGCGCATCCTCGTCCTCAGGCATTTCCACGTTCATGTCGTCGTCCTCCTTGTCCCCACCGCGCTCCCGGTCCCGCCTCGACCCCTCGTCATAGTCGTCCTGCCTTGGCCGCTTCCTCGCCTTCTCCTCCTCGTCGCTCTCCCACTCCCTCGTGTCCCCTTCCCTCTTGCGCAGATGCCGCTCCTTCTTCTCCTTTTTCTCCTTCTTTTCCTTTTTGCCCGAGCCCCGCGACCCACCGGCCTCGACCACCCCAGCGTCGTCTTCGTCCAGCAAGAACCCGAATTTCTGCGACCGCAGCACCTTCGCCTCCTGCTCGGCTTGTTTGTGAGACGCGTCAGACGTTTTCTTGTGCTTGTGTTTGCGTGGAACCCGAGAGAAGACCTCCTGCACGAACTGATGCGCTTCTGGTGTGCTCGGGAGGCCGGACGCGCTGAGCGAGGCGAAGAGGGCGTCGGCGGACTTGGTGGATGATGCTATAGTGGGGCCCCATGGCAAGTAGATGGCAGAGGGGAAAAGAGAGAACAGGAGAGCATGAATAATCAGCTAGGTGAGACGGGCTCCGGCTTGGTGTTGTACTCGCCTGACGCTACAACATAGTCCACAATACTACGGTCTGAGAGTCCAAAGAACTGCAAGACAATGTGAGTGACTCAAATTCTTATGTATAGACCATCCGTGCGTACCCTGATAGCATTGTCGCTGATGTAGCGTTCGAGATCGGACATGAGGGCTGTGGTATAGAAGGAGGGGTGCTCAATTCTTGTCGGTCGCTCAGTTGCTCGCGCGCCTATTGGGCGCCTGCCTAGCTGCATTCAAGGTCAGCTCAAGCGTCTGCAGTACAGCGAGCAGAGACACGCAGGCAGCAGGTGCAACACGACCGCATGATGCCCCTGAGCTGGGACTAGAGAGCGACGCGAGGATTTGACGATTCAGAAGCTATAAAGTTGCTTGTCTCGAGATATGGAGTCGCCTCACAAGGTTTGAGTCCAGTTGCAGCGGCACCCTCACCTGAACCATATATATGTCGTGCTGATTCTGTTTCCGACTTGGGCGCATTGTGTATAATAAGTCAAGGTCAACGAGTTTATAAGCTCTCCCGACGTCACCATTCACTTGCTGGGCTGATTTCCCGGGCCTAACAAACCTAGCATGAGACGATCTTTTCGATCTCTTTGCGCCCGCTGCCTGCGTGTCTCTGCCGCTCGCTGTACTGCAGACGCTTGAGCTGACCTTGAATGCAGCTAGGCAGGCGCCCAATAGGCGCGCGAGCAACTGAGCGACCGACAAGAATTGAGCACCCCTAGGGAGTCCCAAGTCAGGCGCGGTCTTGCGCTTGCATCCGGAGCCGCGCCACCGGTCATCGGGCGTCTACATTTCTATAAGAAGCAGGATATTGCATCTGGCTCATTTCTCGGCGTCAGCTTGTTCAAGTACCATTACCTCCCCTTCCCCATGAAACGCTGCATACACCTATATGGCAATCCTCTCGTGACGTCTTGAATGCTCCGAGTGACTCACGGCTTCTCAGTTATGAGATTACTCGAAACTTGCGGCGACAACCCTAGGACGCCTGCACATGTCCGCAATTGCGGGATCAGCACGATGGCTGCCGCTCCCCTAGTCAAGCCGCTCGTTGTCGATAGCGGCGTTGAGGTATTCTGCAGAGAGACGCTGTCCCAGCACCAACCCACATCTCCTGACTCTCCTCCATGGCTTCTCTTCTTCGTACTAGTACCGCAACCTCATGCTCATACGCGCTTCTCATCGGACCATTGCTCCTGACAGCCCGGGCTTTGGTTCGCAGATTTGGTCTGGCACGACACTATCGCTACACTTTCGAGCTCCTGATGGACGCGATCTCTCATCCAACCCGATGGACTCGGGATCCATCGGTTTTCTGTGTATGCTTCCATTACGGTGCTCCCATCGGCGTAATGGCAGCGGCTTTCTTAGTTCTATCGGCCTGGGAAATCTTGGAATCGGAGTCAGAGGAGACCAGTGTCTCGCGCTATAGCGTCTGGAAGAATTCAGGCAACCATCAGCGACAGTAGCAACGCATACTCTAAAGGATCCGGCCAGCCTTCGCAAGTGATCGCCAAGGCTGACTAGGACCCCTCGCCAGAGCACCCGCCGCCTGTATTACCTTTGGCAACGCCATGTCCCAAGTGCATTCATACACACTCTTTATCGTGATCGGGTGAATATCGCTCACCCGCAGGTTAGTTGTCCTAGTGCACCATCGGGCCACCCGACCCAGTCGCTATTAATCAGCTTCGGCGTCGTGACGCTGCCCGAGGGACCACCACTAATGCGCGCCTACACTTCCCGTTTCGGGTGTACCCATATTCAGCGTCGAGGAGGCTTACGAGACTTCTCGATTTCCAAGCACGCCGTTCGGACGCCGTTCAAATTGTCTGTCTCAGGAACATGCAAAGTCACGTATTGACGTACTCAACAAGTGAGCCTACTCGAGCGGCGACTCCTGAACCTTCATTCGTCATACAGCTCGATGAGTGGGTGATCGAGCAGGCCTATATATGAGAGCCAAGGAATTGGCTGCAATCCCACAACCACCAGCTCCGCCACCAATAGTCAAGCCAAGCGAACCACCCACAACCTCCCGCTCGGATCATGGCAGCCCCCACCCAAGTGAAGACCGTGACCGTCGACGGCGGCGTCGAGGTGTTCTATCGCGAGGCCGTCCCCGCCTCCGCCTCCGCCTCCGCCTCCGCCGCAGACCCCTCCGCGCTCCCCGTTGTGCTCCTCCTGCACGGTTTCCCCGCGTCCTCGTTCCAGTACCGCAACCTCATCCCGGTCCTCGCGGCGAGGTACCGCGTGCTCGCGCCCGACTTGCCCGGGTATGGGTTCACGGCGGTTCCCGCGGCGCGCGCGTACGAGTACACGTTCGCGGCGCTGGCGGACACGGTCGCCGCGTTCCTGGACGCGCTCGCGATAACGGAGTTCGCAGTGTACGTGTTCGACTACGGGGCGCCGACCGCGTTCAGGTGCGCCATCCACGCGACATGTTCTCACGTGTGGGACGAGGAGACCGGGACTGAGGTTTGATGTGCATGCGCCCTCTAGGCTTGCGCTCCAGCGCCCGAAGGCGATCAAGGCGATCGTGTCGCAGAACGGGAACGCGTACGAGGACGGGTTCGGGGAGGACTTCTGGGCCCCTGTGAAGAAGGCGTGGGCGAACCCGTCGGAGGAGAACCTCGCGGCGCTCGAGAAGGTCACCAGCCTCGAGGTCACCAAGTGGCAGGTGAGCACCCCTCCCTCCTCTCTCCCCCCCAAGCGTCAGCACGAAAGAGACGAGCTCACCTCGACGACCGGGCCTTCTCTCTAGTACACTAACGGGGCTCCTGATCCGTCCGCCGTCCCCCCAGAGACGTACCACTTGGACTACTACCTGATGACGCGCCCGGGGAACGCGGCGATCCAGCTCAAGCTCCTCCTGGACTACGGGACGAACGTGCGGCTGTATCCGAAGTCCCACAAGTACTTCCGGGAGCACCAGCCGCCGGTGCTGGCGGTATGGGGCAAGAACGACGCGATTTTCGTGCCGCCGGGGGCGGAGGCGTTCAAGAGGGACAACCCGAACGCGACGGTGAAGTTGGTGGATGCGGGGCATTTCGCGTTGTGAGTGTGTTAGGAGTTCGCGCGGTTTTTGTACTTACTGATTTGGACACAGGGAAAGTGCACTGGAAGAGATTGGTGAGGAGATCTTGAAGTTGTTCGATAAGCATGGGATCTAGGGGGTTAGAAGGAAATGAGTAGACGCGTACATATGTGATTGTGGTCTTGCTGCAATGCTCAAGAATCATTTACCGGGTGGAAGTCTGCGTGAGGTTGAAGGGAGGTTGCGCTGAAAGATGTGACAAGGATGCGACAGAGCGCGCGGTCTTGGCGCGAGAGGACGCGTCGAGTGGCCGCGGGCACATGACCGCGAGTGCCTCGTGTGGTGCATGAGTTCAACTGGTGGCGGGCGTCTGCAAAGTCCAACAAAGGTCGCGTCTGCTCGCTGCCCTTCCGTCTCCCGCCGCCCGCCCTCGACCTTCCCAGACGTCCTCTTCCCCGGCCCACCCCCTTAAACTTCCTCTTTATCCACCGCCCTAGGGCCCCCGCAAGAACAATCTCCACCGGTTCGTTTCCTTGCATACTCGACGTTGTTCACCGCGTGATTGTCCAATAATTACATAGATTCCCGACGCATACATCCACCACGCGTCCTTTTAGACAATAGGTTCGTCTTATCCCACTCATCGTACGTACTACTCGCTTCCCATCGCTCGGTGGCCAGAGCTGATGTCTACTCTCTTGCAGCACTCGTCGACCTAGAACGCTGACTCTCATCTCCGCATGTTCACTAGCTCTTACACACTCGTCGAGGGTCATGCCTCGTCACCCGGTACGCCTTCTCACTCTCCCCCTCCCTCGCGCGATGGCCCCCAAAAGGTCCAAGTCTCCCCCGCCAACTCGGACGACTCGTCCATCGCCTGCGACCTGTCCGACCTCTCGTTCAACTACGAGCGCAATTCCCGCGGCGAGATCGTCCGCGTCTCCAAGGGTTCCTCCAAGGCATCCTCCACCCCTCCAACGCCCTCCGACTCCCCGCCCAAGGCGCCCTCCCCCATTCTCGGCGGCCCGGCTGCGACCTACTCCCGTCCCCCTCCGTTGGCCCGCTCAGAGTCCCTCCCGCAAGAGTCGCTCTACCAGCCACGACAATTCCAGCGTGCTACCTCCGGCCCCCAAGCTATCACTCCCGCAGGCACTTCACGCGGCTTCACCACCCTCGCCGCTACCAACGCCGCCACCGGCCGCAAGCTCGGGGGCCCCCGCCGCGTCCGCCTCGAGGACCTCCCCGAGGGCGACGTGCAGCCCAAACCGAACATCCAGACAGCCCCCTTCCCTTCGACAGCCACGGCGTTTGACGAGAAGGAGAACCAGCGGGCGCGCGCAATCCGCCCCGCGCGGTCTATCGGTAAGTCGCTAGGATTCGAGCGGATACCGGAGGTGCCGTCGGGGGAGGAGCCCCAGCCGATCCGGCCGCGACGGTCCGCGAGCCTGAGCGACGCACCACCGCCAATGGACCCGCTGCCGGAACGGCCGATGGCTGGTCACGTGAGGCCGGGGACGGCGCTGGGCGCGCGGCGGGTGACACTGGAGGAGAAGCTGAGGCAGGAGCGGGAGATCGCGCTCGAGGAGGGGTACGCTCGGCGCGAGGCAGAAGAGGCCGCAGGTGCGTATGACCTCTTGCCGACCACAGATGACGCTGACAATCTCTCGCAGCCCGCGCCGCGCAGGCACAGGGCGCGGGCCAGGGGTACGTCCCCGCGCCATCCCCGACACACGTCGCACGCCCGCACTTGCGGCACGAACGCAAGGACTCGGACACGATGCGCGGCGGGTCGGGCAGCCCGACGGCGGTCGAGCCGCCAAGGCACCGTCGGAGCCCGACAGCGCAGGACGCGCAGGCGCACAAGCAGGCGCATTGGGAGGAGGGCGAGCTCCAGCAGCCCCCGATACAGGCGACCAAGTCGGCGCCCGTCCCGCTCATGGCGGCGCCGAGCCAGTCGGGCGATCGCGGAGGGTCATCGCGGACGATCATCGTGAACAAGAAGGGGTACCAGCGCCTGGACCTGCTGGGCAAGGGCGGGTCGTCGCGGGTGTTCCGGGTGATGACGGGGAGCCACGAGATCTTCGCGCTGAAGCGGGTGGCACTGGACAAGGTGGACGCGGAGACGATGAGCGGGTATATGAACGAGATCGCGCTGCTGAAGCGGCTGGAGGGTAACCAGCGGATCATCCGGCTGCTGGACAGCGAGGTGAAGCAGGGCGGGGGCAGCTCGAAGGGAGCGCTGTTCCTCGTGATGGAGTGCGGGGAGATCGACCTGGCGAAGCTGCTGCAGGAGCAGCAGAAGGAGCCGATGGACCCGGTGTGGGTCGCGTACTACTGGAAGCAGATGCTGCAGGCGGTGCACGTCATCCACGAGGAGAAGATCGTGCACTCGGACCTGAAGCCGGCGAACTTTGTGCTGGTCAAGGGCCAGCTGAAGCTGATCGACTTTGGGATCGCCAACGCGATTGCGAACGACACGACGAACATCCAGCGCGACCACCAGATCGGGACGGTGAACTACATGTCGCCCGAGGCGATCGAGCTGCCCGAGGGCATGCGCCGCCTCAAGGTCGGCCGCCCGTCGGACGTGTGGTCGCTCGGGTGCATCCTCTACCAGATGGTGTACGGGCAGCCGCCGTTCCAGAACTTCAACGTGTACCAGAAGATGAAGGTGATCCCGGACGAGAGCCACGTGATCGAGTTCCCCGAGTACGCGGTGCCCGTCGCGCAGCGGCGCAAGGACGCGTCGGCGACGACAGGGACGGGGAGCCCCCCGCAGAAGCTGGAGCACCTGCGGGTGCGGGTGCCGCAGAGCATCATCAACACGATGAAGAGCTGCTTGGTGCGGAACCCGAAGGCGCGGGCGACGATCCCGGAGCTGCTGCAGCAGAACTGGCTCGAGCGTGAGTGTGCACGGGTCGCTTCGCGTCGTGTGGGTGCTGATTGTTTGCGTTTTTGTTTTTGTACCCTCTGGGCGTACTAGCCGAACCGTCGAGAGCGCCGAGCCCCAGCCCGCCGCCGCCGCAGTACCCCGAGTTGCAGCTGCGCGAGGACGAGACGATCATCAACCCACACTATATGCGGCAACTTCTTGAGTACGGGTTGAGGAGGGGGGCCGACGGGATTGATGGTTGGAACGAGGAACGTCTGGCGGCCGAGGCTGAGGTCAGTCTGCTCTCGTTCTAGATAAATGTTGAGCTTGTACTGAATGGCGGCGTGCGTTGCAGCGGCTCGTCAGCGAGTTGAAGCATATCAATCGAGACGCGGCGCTCTCCGCGGCGGCGAGTCGCCAGATGCTGTGAGGATGCATCCACATACACAGTATGATATGATTGTCTACCCGGCGCCGTCACCGCCACTCCTCTATTCTTGACGGCCGTCTCAATATCTGGCCCCATGGCTTGGGCCGTCATGCGCACTCGATCGACCGTGAGTCGCTAGTGGCCCTCGCGGCTACTTTGCTGCTGCATGCCACGAAGAGCGCCATTCGCCCGCCCCGCTACGGATGTGGTAGCGTGTGACGCACGTCGAAGACTTGTCCGTTCCCTTCCTACGTCGCATCTGTTTTTTATTATCTCGCTATGCTATGCTGCCCTTCGCTCAGCTGCTGTCCTCTGTCAGTCCCACTTTCCTCTACGTGCACTCTGCGTCGCACCGCACTGGCCACCTGCGCGGTCCTCCATCTGTCATCACATTCGTCGCCCCATCTCCTTCCTCCCTTCCATCCCTTCCCGTGTTCGATGCGCGCCTTAACCCCGCCTTGCAAATCTCCCGGGCATCGTCTTGCATCTGTTCGCTATGGAAACCGGACAAAGTAGCCTCGCTGTCTCACCTCGATACCGATACCGCGTCGGTGGCCGTACCGTCTGTCACGTAGCCGCCGCGCCCCTCATACTGTACCATCATTAGTACCCGCATCCAACCTCGCTGTTCTATATGCATCCAAGTACAACACGATACGCACGCACGTACGCTTACACATACACACATGCCGCCCGCCACCTGTATGATCGATCCGCTAGCATCATCTGAGTCTGTTTCTCGCCCAAAATCAATTCTTTTAACCGTCAAACGTCTCTTCTCCCTCGTGCGTTTTAGATCGTCTGTCTGTCTCCACCTAACTATCAAACTAATCATGCTCGCGTTGCTTGTTCGTCGCTGTTTCGTTGCTATCCGAATCAGGGCTGTCGGGTCGTTCGTTCCCGGACCCCTTTGTCGAGTCGCGGTGTTCGTGCATGTTTGCCAGTGCTGTCGAATGCTATCTATGGTTGTCTGTCTTCCTCGTCTCCCATCTCCAGGTCTTCTGGTTACGGCATGGTCAAAGGTGCGCCGTCGTTCCTAGGTAAGCCTGCGAGACAAGAGGTCGGCGGACGTCGGTCGTGCATCCACCATGCAGCGCTACGGAGAACGAACATATGTATGGGACGTGGCTCATCCAAGCAACTGTCAGCTACCTGGACCGATGCACCTGATGAAACACTATCTCTGCGGCCGAGCTACGAAAAGGAGGCGGCATCTCGCCCCGTCAGGGAGTGGGATCCGAGGAATGCGAAGCGGGGAAGGCAGGGCAACACGGATTTCCGGAAACACATTCCGTCTTGCCTTCCGTGTCCTGTTGACTTGACCCGCAGGCTCGCAGGATCAGCTTCTTCTATATGTATAAGGATATATTACACCGCCGAGTGGTACTACAGACAGACACTTAGCAAGCACGCACAGAAAGAGGGCACTAGCCAGTCACTCGCGTCCCCGCGCCACGCAACGGGGGGTAGGAACCAAAAATAACAGAGCTCTTAGAGATAGCGGTACGGAAACGGACGTAGGTAGAAAGCTTCAGGCCGCAGGTCTCGTAGCACGTACATAGCAAGGCACAAAGACAGTCAACACGGGCGTATATTGCAGCAACGGAGCAGGGCGTAACGAAGGGCGGCAACGGTCGACGGCGGCGCTGACGTGGACATCGGTGGCGAGGGACGAGCGACATGACCAAGAAATAAATAGAGCAGCGGGGCGCAGAGACGATCGTCAGCGACGACAACGCTCATGTGCACTTTGCATCGTCCCCTCCTTTTGCGGCCCCAAGGATTCCTTCCATCCATCCTCCATCATCTATATCCCGGATATAAGCTTACGGAGACAGAGGAACGCAGTAGCCCATAGAGATAGAAAGAGCAGCAACAGACGCAGCGCTCAGTTCTTCTCCTTCTCGAACGTGATGTCGTTCTCTGTCTCGACGGTGACCTGGACGCCGGTATGGTTGATGGGCGAGTCCGTGGGGTAGATCTCCGTGACCTTCTGGTCGCGCCCGCCCACGGAGCTCTTGCCGTCCCAGTCGGCGCCGACCTTGTCCGCATGGTCGAGCGGCACGGCGTACGCGGGCTCCGTGGGCCCCCGGAGCGACAGGACGGGGTTGACCGGCGGCTGGCCGGCGGGGCGGCTCGCGGAGATGACGTGCGTCGTGTTGCCGGAGCGGCTAGGGTTGCTCGTGGACGAGACGGCGAACGAGCCGCCGTTGGCGAGCGAGCCTCGGACGGCGAGGATGATGCGCATGGTCATCGACGCGGTCAGGACGGCGGCCATCGAGGTGACGATGGTGCGGATGGGGTCGTCGGGGCCCGTGGGCTTGATGATGAACCAGAAGAGCATGTTGACCATGTTGACGATCCAGATCGCGCCGTACAGGTTCAGGCCGTCGCGGAGCATGAGCTTCCAGTACGAGAGAGGCTTGATCTTGAGCGAGCGGAGAGAGCGCTGCACTGCGAGGGCGAACTGAGAAACGAGAAGCAGCACGTCAGTTTGAGTTCATGATACGCCGAAGGTGTGTGATGAACGCACCGAGGCGGTGTACGTGAGGGTTGCAGATAGCCAGTAAATGCCGACCCAATTAGCCTTGGGCTCTGCGATGCAGCCTTGGCCTTCAAGAAGTGGTGTTGCTGCAGTAGATACGACGTCAGCATGGATGGTTCAAGTGAAAAACTTGACTGCAACTCAGGGAGACGGAGCTCAGCTCCCACGTTGAAATAGAAACCATCATGAGAAGCAAGCGAAGCACAAGAAGACCGATCCAAGCATATGCCAAAAATGGGCTATCCAAGCCGAATGACCCGGCGTGTCCAACGAGCATACTTGGATAGGAACCGAACAGCGGAATCTCTCAACATATGAATGGACACTTACACCGGTAGAATCCGCAACAGATGGCGGTGATGACAACTTGGAACGCGAGCAGACCACCCATGCTGTAGAGGATATTCCTGTTCTTCTCGTAGATAGCGTGAATGCGGATGACATGAACGATGGAGCAGGCGGCGAGAAGGATGGCCGTGCAGATAGGCTCGAAGAGGAAGAAGTGAGAGCATTGCTGGAATGAGTTTGATTAGCCCTGTCGTTCCATTTAGGATAAGTCCCCAGAGATTGCGTTCCACCCACGCGCCAGAGAAGCGCCGTGGGATGTGCTCATCCGCCGAGCAGATCGGTGTCATTACCCAAGACCCCCGCTCAGATAGCTGAGCGGGAACTTGACCGCACTCCGAAAGGTGGGGAGTTGATGGACTCACTGCTTGCGACCACTTGGTGTCAAAGAATGCAACGCCTGGTGTCAACGATCTAGTGAGCGAAATGCGAAGGGACGGTAGCGCGTAAGGTTACTCACCAACGATAGTGAACTCCACCGGCATGAAGAGACGGAGGAAATGGAAGAGGATCTTCAATGGAGGCCATTCCTTGGTGCGGAGGAGTCGCCATGTGCGGGGAGACAACACGAGCGTGTCCCATGCGGCGACGGTCAGCGTACATACGAAGAAGTACTTCTGGGCGGAGAGGTGAGGAGGGAGGTTAAGGTAGGGCGGAAGGATGTCGGAAAGGTCGGGGACGCCAGAGTCGGTGGAGTTGCCCGAGTCGGTGGAGTTGTCGGACATGGCGGCGGTCTACCTGAGAGCCGGACGAGCAACGACGAGGAGGGGGGCAGATGAAGAGGAGGAGAGAAGAGAGGGAAAGGGTGGCGGTGTGGGAGGAGGCGACGGGAGCCGTAGTACTAGTATACCACGCTGGGCGCCCGATGGGGATCTGGCCGCGCTCGCTACTGGCGCCCGCACGCCTCCGTCCAAGCAGACAGCGAACACAGCAACTAACACATCCACGCCAACTTCCATCCTCTTCCCTGATATCCCTCCTGTGCATCGTTTCCTTGTCTCCTCCCCCTCCTATCTTCCCGTCGCTACGCTACACTCTCACCACTCGATCTCATTTCCTGACGACATACCACAAACCAGTATGCACATTGGCTTCCACTCTGACAGCAGAAAGTATCTTCCTTCACTGGTGTGGCTCTGCATAGCCCCTACCTTGTTTCGCACGAGACGTTATTCGCAGTGCTCATTCGAGCTGATCCTCCACCATATCAACAAACTTTCTCTGACTGCGGCACCTCGGCCATCCCCCGAGTCCTCTGTTTCATCCCCTTCGTTCCCCCGGCCAGCGCATCGTAGACACCGACGAAACGTACCGTGATCAGAAGCCCCGGGGTCGTCGGGCGTTTACGCACATCTCCCTCTCGTCCGTGAGTGCCTGACTCCATCTTCGGAATACGGACACAGGCGGACACCCACACCCCCCTTCCTGCGCATACAGCAGCGATCTGTGGGAGCAGATTACGCCAGCTCTTGACCACTACGAAGCTCCTTCAGGCCAGATTGTGGTGTGTCAGGCCATAGACACCATCTCATGCCTTATCCGCGCGCACAGCACCTCCAGATTTAGGATTGTTCGTGTCATTCGTACGACATCTCGTCCGTGCCTGAGGAGCGTTCATAGAACGTACTCGATTCACGCGTACAGGCATCCTATGTGGACAGCACGCTACGTCAGGCGCACCCGGCGTCCCTGAACGAGGATAGACCGGTGATGGCACAGGTTTGGGTTGGGACCGGTGGGTGGACGTAGCGGCGCCGCACGCTGTGCTCGCCTTGTCCTCCGGGCGAGCCGCCGCTCTATCGAAAATCTGAAAACTGAGACGCACGAGGCCGTACATCAGAGAACAGATCGCATACGCTTCACAAATTGGGAGGGGGTGGCCAACGTACCTCATGAGGTTCAGCGGGGACCTCAGGACCTGTTCGATGAGATTGGACTCAGCGTCGCATTTCACTCTGCCTACTGCATACGCAAATTGGGATCAGCGTGTTGTTGAGGGAGGACCGCAGTTAAACTATCGCGACCCTTGACTACGCCCACGCACCTGGCGTGCATAATAACATCACAGCCTGCCAGCAACTGCGGTATAGGCGATCTTCCTCTGAGAGCACCCCCTGGCTTGTGCCAATCTAACAAACGTGACGCAACCGTGTACGACTTAGCAGGGTGTCGACGCCGCGGTCTGGAGGTCAATGTTCGGTTCCGTTCCCACCTGAGCGCCACAAGCGTGGCAGTCGAGGTATCTCGCGCGCATGGCTGATGTCAGGCCCAGTTCGGACCGCCCGATCGTACAAGGCGTGAGTACAATCTTGCATGAGCAGGGCAGTTCCACCTGCGCTTTAATTGCTTCTTTGGTATGTGTCCCATATGTACTGGTGGACGCCGTTAAGATCTAACGAGCACCGAGCGGTAGCTTCGCAGCCAAACTACTGTGTAGTACCGTGTCCTATTCCATATCCACACTCAGAGCTCGACGACCGACCCTTCGTCGACCGCCTCGTACTTCTCAAACGCCTCCGTGAACCGCTTCCACCGGCCCCCGTCCCACGTGAGGATATCCCGCCACTCCTCGCTCTCGTCCCCAAGTACGGTGCGCAAGCACCTGAGTGCCCCGGCAACGACGAGATCCGCAAAGATGATCTTCTCCTCCTCTCCGGCGAAGAACAGCGTCTCCTTCCCGTCCGCCTCGAGCCACGTCGCGAACGTGTGGAAGATGCCCTTCAGCCCCTCCCAGTGCTCCCTGCGCTTCTCGCTCCCCTTCGGCGCGAACTCGGAGAACTTGCCCAGCACGGCCTCGCGCGTCGCCCGGAAGTACGCCGCGCTCGGCGCGTTCATCACCGCGTGCGACGCGGGCAGCCCGATCGAGACGAAGTGCCCGCCCGCGAAGAACGTCGCCAGGAAGGCCGCCTGGAACGCGGCGTGCAGCGCGGCGGTCCCGTGCGGGAACAGGCGCGGGGTGTCCGGGTACGTCTCGTCGAGGTAGCGCGCGATCGCGGCGGAGTCGGCGACGGGCATACGCGTGTTCGGGTCGTAGATGACGGGGAGCGTGTAGAGGGGCGAGCCGTCGGGGAGCCTCTCGGCGGCGGGCGCGCCGATCTTGAGGCAGAGGGGCTTGATGTCCGGGTACTCGACCCAGACGGTCTTGTACGGGAGTCCTTTGATGTTCAAGGTGTATCTGGAAGAGCAGAGGTCGGTCAGGTCGCGGAGCGCGATGGGCAGGAGGATGGTGACGATGTCATGGCCTTTTCGGCTGTGCGCGTACCTCGTCTTCCAGGTGTTGAGGTTCCACGCCTTATTGTGAATTCCTTCTCCGAGCTTGCGCGGGAGGTCGTAGAATATGATCGGCTCCGGCATGTTTGTGCGAACTGGGGACGCGATGGCGTTTGTCTACCTTCAAACTGCGTTTGCGTTGCTTATATCTGTGTACGCACAGATCGGTCCGTCATCGCGGCTACACGATAAGCTTATAGACGATAGTCTCAGTAAGGTCGTATGTAATCGACATCACGACCACATCGATCAGTACAATGCTGACTGAGGTTCGGATTGAAGACAAGATAGAATGTCCGCAGCTTAAGTAACAGGAGCACGGTCTTACAGACTTCGCTCGCATATATTATGAGCTCTAAGGACGTGCGCCAGAAGTACCCTACTCAGTCTTCTCGTGATCTCGCACATAAATTTCGCTGCCTAGAGCTCGAAGTACCACAGAGCGGGCGGGCTGGGCTTGACCGCAAGATTGCATGGGAAGTCGGTACGGTGGCTTGGGCAGCGGCGCCGCGTTTAACGTTCCTGCTATCCTAGGAGGCGTCAGCCTGGTGCATCAGGGTACTGGGGCGTTCATTCTGGTAGCGCGACTAAGCCTGGAATGCGGGGATCTCAGCACGGATAAATGCACTGGGTCTGAGGAGGCTTACTACGAGGCGAGAGGAAAGAGAAAACAGCTGAGAAAGACTTGATCCTCCGGCTCCTCCCTGCGCGTGCTAGCGCCCACGGCAAGCGTCACTGCAACTCCGCACTGCAACTTGGGTGCCGAACGTTCGATCCTTGGCAGCCGTCGCACGTCGATCGCGCCCGCAAGTCGTCGCGGGCATCAAGTCCTGCTGTAAGATCAACACACACGTGGTCACGGCGAACTACACCACATGCCACAGCAAACCAACTGCGAGTGAAACTTTCACTCCAGCTACTGGGAGTCAAAGATTCACTTGCATCTGTTAGAATGAGAGAAAACAGCATAGATGAGGGCCCAGCGGCACCTCAGAACTCAGACACAGACAGGGGATTTGGGCTCAAACCGAAGGCTTTGTAGCGACAGACTAGGGATTGTACAGTGACGTGGCTACGGCCGGGCGTCGTACTGCTAACAATTCATTCAACACCTTCGACTCGTACCACCACCATCCCCAATAAGCGCCCACTTCCCATCCCCTCTCGTGAGTCCTTTCCTCATCGTCCTCTACTAACAATGGCATCCACAGTCTCCTCTACTGGCCAAGCTGCCTCAAAGAAAACCCCTGCCGTCGACCCGGCTCCCCATATGTCTCCCTCCAGCTCTACTAGTTCCGATGTATCTATGGCCCGCTCCATCTCGCCCCTCCCCACCCTCAACGTCCCCAGCGACACTCAAATCTCCGCTACGCCCGCCGGCCTCTACACGCAGCCCGACGGCCCTGGCCTTTCCACCCAGGCCCGCCTCCACAATGCGGAGGCATCTGCACTCGCCTTCAACCTTGCGGCCGAGGCCGCGCTTCTGCCTCATGGCCCCCTCCCCTCTGCCTCGCCTGCCCCGCCTGTCTCCGGACTCGGCGAACTGGACCGGTACTTCCGGTCCCTCAGTGCCCATTTCACTCCCCTCTCTCAGCCCGCTCCGGACTCCCCGCTCCCGGCGTCTGTCCCGTCTTTCCGGCACCCCGCCATCCTCAGCGCTCGCTTCCT